ACGGGAGGAATGGCAGGGTTGTTAACACGGAATACGACTGATCGGTGTTATGCTATTATTATATACCTAGATGCAACGCGGTAAACTGGCGGTCATCGTAGTATCCGTGGCTCGAGGCTTGCGCAATAACTGATGACACGAATCCTCAGAGGATGATCGATCATTGATGATGAAGGCGGAGGAAATACGGGGAGCCGGAGGTGTGCAACTTGGGACGAGGAAGGCTGGTCTCCCATGTCGCCGTAGAGAGGGCACCGGCTGATGTCTAGAAAGGAATTCGGAAATCCGTCCGCCTCTTCTATGCAGTACGGGGTGAAATCCAAGCCACCCGAAACAGATCGTCGCTCCGCCGCCCCAGCCCCGCCGGTCCCCTCGCATGTTCTCTCGGACCGAGAAAGCCTAAACGGGTTAAAGGGGGGAAATGCAAAAAGAAGGACGCGGGAGAGAGAAGAATACACGGACCCGGGGGAAGACTGAAGAAATGGGGGAAAAATTGAGGAGGAGACGGAAGCGAAGAAGCGCCGTGTCCCGCCTCCTCGCGCGGGCCAAATCTCAATCTACTTTCGTATCGATCTGTTCCATAACATGCCGTTGTCATTGAGGCCATCCGCTTGTTGCCGTCTGCTCTCTTTTCTGTTCTTTTCTCTCTTTTTTCTCTCTCTTTTTCTCTCTCTTTTTCTCTTTCTTTTCTAGCCCTCGATCTCCCCAACGCTAGCAGTAATTAAGGCCGCCCGCGTCCCAGGGCGATCCCACCCCAAAGATGTCTCAATTGTCCTTTGATCAAAATCTTCGGGACGTGGTAATTTCCAGCACATACGTGACGTCATATTAGGGTATTGATGACTTCACTCTAATGCACTAAAGTGGAGTGGGATTCGTGCCCTGGTGCTTCCTTCCCTCGACGAAATTTGACATTGACGTTTGACATGGGGCGGGATGGAAAACGCTTTTACGGAGTGCATGGTACAATGTGAACCAAAAATAAGAAAAGAACTTCAAGATGATTTCCTCCAACGGGTCACAATAGATTATCATTGAAAGCCTGTCTGAAGATGAAGCTTTTGGTTGACTGGACAAGTCGTGTCCATCTTTGTCCATCCTTGCAAGGTCCCCGCAAATATGACGTCACTTCCAGCTTACTCCTTCACCCCCCTGGTCCGCTCTTGCGTCAAATTCATTACCGTAATCAAAAAATGTACTTCTCGACAATCCCAACACAAGTACCGTTTTCGCCATGGTGGGGGTAATGATGCGATTCTACCCTCCCTTTGCTCGAGGCCGTATGATCTGGGCCATCGTTTGGTGAGCAATCACGGGTGGGATAGGCCGTAATAATAGCACCGCCTCCCCGTACAGCGCAGGGGGCGGCGTACCTATGCTACGAAGCAGTAGATCCTAGCATTGTGTACCCTTCTCGGGGGGTTCTTGGGGGGCTTATTAGTCTCTGTCCTCGACCCATAGCGTTAATGCCCTACTCGTTTTCGGATCACGGCAGCGCCGAGAAGCGAACGGGGACGAGAGGAGTGACGAAACGGCCCAACTATCTGTGAACGGTAGTGGTTGTCATCGTGGGATCTCGAGAAGACATTAACGTCGGCCAAGGCTGAACTAGAAAAGGTTCCAGTCGCCGAGCGCGAGGGACGCCGACCGACAGCGGTCTCCGAATGTTAGCCTCATTGGCACGAGAGTGGTGGTACACATAAATGCGCCCTCGGGATCAGAGTAACAGGGCGACCAAAGTCAAAACGAAGTTGACACCAGGGGGAGATGTCAATAGATAGAGTTCAGGAACCCGCCAACTCTGATCAGGCAACGCTGGTTTTTTTGCATCTGCCGAACGAGTCGAGGAGTAAACAAAGGAGAGCATTGAGCGAGATGTTCTCCAGTGTCTCAAATTGAATCTAAGGAATTTTGTGGGACTCGGGCCTCCCGCTGGCGCCGTACAATGCAGAGACTTTTTTTCTCTTTTCATACGGTGGAGTTGAGAGAGGTCTTCTCTTACCTCATCGTGCATGACTAGAGGAGTGAGGAGAACGTATTATCGCGGGCTGCGTCTCGCGTCTGGACAACATTGGGGGTTTTCCTCCTATAATCTTTCAGCATATATGCCAAATCGAGCGGACAGCCTTTAACTGAACTGCGCGTTGTGGAGTACCCTACATCTGGTATGAATCCCGATCTCCTCCTGGGGTTCTCGCGAAGGAAGAGATTACAACCTCGTAATACAAAGAACGTCAGCGAGCACATTTCGCCATTTGTCTCATGGCCTAACAGTTAGGGTTCTTCAAGCGAGAGACAATGCTCGAAAAAGATAAAAAGGAAGCTGCTTTTTTTTTTTTCGTTTGTCAAGTCGCATTTCTCGGATCAACCATGACGAGGGGCGGAGCCCGGCGGTGGAGATCCGCGTTGGAATCCAAATGTATAAAGTACAAGTACTTGCCACCAACTTCGACAATACAAGGTCCTAGTTTCAAAATATCGTCCCCCGGCACACTCTTTTGGTGGGTTTGAGAGATCAGTGGCGTCCGGGAAGGGACGCCGGCGGATTCGAGATTTCGAGACGAACCAACCAGGACGAGCCCAGGTAAACTGTCGTCGAATCACATCCCATCTGGGGCGTTCCCAGGATCGTCCATCTGCATGCCATACCACACCATGAAGCCTCTAGCCGTGCTTCGAAAAGTATCTGTGGAGTTGCTTTCATCCTCAAATTCCTTCGAGAGCGGTGAGCCTTTGTTCGTTGAAGAGACGTTCTGAGAATCGAGGCTTCGGAGGACTTCTCCGCACATGAGATGTGGGCTTGAAAAATGCTATATCCTCGGTCGTTGTTGACCTCTCCTTCGAAGATAATAGATACTCGGACATAAGGTGTATGCGTATACGCCAGGCTAGAGAATTTGACGGAGCGGCGATCTAAATACAAGTGTGTTCCAAAGCTGCTCAGGGATCAGGGTTCCTGAACCCTACAGGCTTCGAATTGCCGTCTGAACAAGCGGAAAGAGTGTGCGTACGAAGGAGGAGGAGCTTTACGAAGTACAGGGATGTGAGTGTGGAGGGCATCGAGCTGAGCAATGAGGACGGAAATGGATTGATTACAGGACGCTGATGGGCGGGAAGTATAGGTTGGGGGGATCCAGCACACCCCAATCAAGAGGCTGGTGGCTGAAGTATCCTCGAGAATGTCGAGGATGAACAGCCCAAAACATTGACATCTCGTCTTCAATCTTTTGTACCGGTACTTTGATGGCATCATAGAAGGAGAGACATTGACTGTATCCCATACTTTCTAACTACCCGAGATTCGACAATCTTACCTCACATATTACCGAGTCGATGTTGAGGGAATCAAAATCAATCCTCTGATCTCCACCTCTACTTCGTACGGCACTGTTTATTACGGAGATTAATCAATGAATATCACACAGGATCAGCATTGATATCTCTCGGTATACCACTATTTTTTAATGTCCTGCCTTTCTACGGCATTGGCAGTTCTGCCTGTCCTCGTTACGCTCAACGGCTGTCCTTTGATCCCTTCGTATTGATTGATGTATCAATGTACTTGTGACAGTGGGAGGACGAAGTAGCGTACACAGGTGCACTACAGAAGTTCTCTGTTCCTGGAGGCAAAACGGTGGGGTTTTGCCAAGCACCCAGTCGACTTTGTACCCCATCCATTGCGCATCACTTCCTGCAGCCAGTATGTACTTCGCCTTCAGCACATAACGGTGTCCCGCCGTCCCGCCGATTAGCGGCTAATCACATATTAACACCTAATCGCAGCACACCTCGATCGATGGGCAAACATTGATGTCCATTGCGACTACTAAGGTAGAGCCCTCGTATCTCCAGTCTCTTTTTCTCCTCCAAAGATACAAACAGCACCGCTGGAACGAGTTCTCCTCCGTAAACGTTTTTCATTTTATTATTTTTTCCCTCTTCTTTTTTCCTCTCCTAATCTTGCCACAGAGATCATCGAGCTACTTAACTCAAATCTGGGGCAAGGCGTTGGAATTATTTTGAGTTCTTGCTGCTTCAGCAACCTGTGTAAATAAGTGAGGAAACAACACCTGCTTACGACTCAAGATCGCTCTCCCCATTGCTCCTTCCCTAATCTCACCTCCCACCATCTCTGGTTTTTTTTGTCTCTTTCTATTTTTCCTTTTTTTTTTTTTTCTTTTCTCTTATTCCTATTCGGTTTATATCGTCGCCACCCGTAACATACCTCGCACTTTCTCAAGACCGACCACTTTTCCTTCTTTCATCACGCCCATTCGCACTTCGGTTATTTTCCATCATACAAAGGGCACTCTACTGAGGATTCTCTCGTATGCGTATGGGAGGAACCCCCCACTAGTTCTATATTAATACCCTTCACTCTCAAGTGGCACCCGCTCGCTGCTCGTCTCCAGTATCAATCTCTCGGCCGACCAATCTATGTTCGGCTCATCAATATCCCTTACCTTCCCCGCCCGTTTCGCTTCCGATCTGTCCTTCTAGGCGTGTAAACGTCGTTGACTCTTCGCTACCATACTAGAACATATCTTCGCGCCTGACGGTTTGGAGCCCAGTTCTCGTTTTCTTTTTTTGATGCCGCTGGCTCCTGTTGCTCGGTCCGTATTCTTCCATGACACCTCCTACGCCAGTGTTACCTGAATCTTGGAAATTTTTGAGTTTGAAAGGGGAAAAGAAGAAGAGGAAGAAGAATAAAAGCGGAATTAGGGAAAGGAGAAGGGGAATATATTTCGAAAGCAGGTGGTATTACAGTCTCTCAATCTAGCCTGATCAGCCCCGAAGGTCGCTTCACCTCACGCGCTTGCGTCAAGTGCCATCGACATCGACCCACGCACCACCCAACTTTCTTCCATTCTTTCGAGCGACAATCTTGTTTCCAGCGAAGAATTGACACGGATATAGGGAAGGCTTGAATGTAAAGATTCCCAGGTTGAGTACGGTTTGATGTCCTAGCACACAGGCGAAGAGTCTTCAAGTGCGCCAATATGATTCGTCAAAGGTATGCTTGCGCGCAACTATATCACCAGTCGCATCGCATCGTCTTCTCGCGCGTTGTGTGCTTATCCACGGGCTCGTACAGAGTGATCGAATAGCTAACAGGCAACTCGTTGCGTGTCGCGAAGAAGCTCGCAAAAGCCCGGAGACGACCTACTGGCTGATTTCAGGCAGCAATTCCCAGAAGTTGCTGCTGCGGGAACGATACCATCGACCGGGGGCCCCGTTCGTGCGGCAGGCACCTCGGCCGCTGGTGATAATCCACACATTCATGACGGGTATGAACACTTATCCTTTGCTCTCCTGAGGTTCTTTGTACTGATACGGGGCTATGTGTTGCAGAAATCCGGGTCTTCCGCATGACACTTTTAGGGATCAGGACCCGACTCCCCGCGCGACGAATGAACCATGGCGATTTACACCATCCTTGCTTGATCCGAATTCCTACGCCTTCGCCGGATTTTCGAGTGCGACAGGAGGCTACTACACGCCGACTCCTAATGGCAGCAACACGGTTTACCATCCCCAGTCCGGGGACCTGCAAACGCCAACCCTAGGTCTGGGGATCGGCCTTAATACTCCCCTTCCGCTCTCGACATCGGAAACTGCCATGAACAACCCGGGAGCCATGATAGACATGAACCATTTCCAGGCTATGCAGATGGGCTCCTTCAACGGAGGCTTCGTTTCCACCGCTCCACCACCACCACAAGGGTCTTTTGCTCCGACGACATTTGTGCAACATCCTGATGCCAGCTTCGACTCTATGGACCATGATGGCTTACCCATCAACGCCGATGAACGGGTGGGTGTCATGACGGGCGGGTTCCGTGGCATGCCCCCTGTAGTAGACATCGATGGCCGCCGGCAATATAACGCCTTGAACATGGCCGCCCCCCTCCCACCAGGGGCCGAAAAATTCCGATTCCATGCCACACTCAACGCTCCGACAGCCATGATCAAGCATGCCGACGAAATCCCGATTACCTACCTGAATAAAGGCCAAGCGTATTCTCTTTCCGTTATAGATACTTCCGCAACTCTCCCCATAGAGCCTGGCACTCGCTACCGAACCTTTGTCCGTGTGTCCTTCGAAGATGAACAGCAGAGACGGAGACCAGCTGCTTGCTGGAGCCTATGGAAGGAAGGCAGGGGTACGAACGAGGCTCACCAGAGAGGGGGCAAGCTGCAGGCCGTTGAGTTCATCGAAGCTAGAGATACCCGGGAGGGGGACGATAAGCGAACGAAAATGGAACTGGAAAGCTCATCCTTCGACGGGTTCTCCGTGATCTGGACTCCTGGTGCCAACGGAGCTGCCGAAGTCAACATTGCTGTTCGATTTAATTTCCTCTCTACCGATTTTAGCCATTCTAAGGGAGTCAAGGGGATCCCTATCCGACTGTGTGCCAAGACCAGTCCGTACCCGATTGACACGTCGAAGCCCCCACCTAGTGACGGGTCCGTCGAGGTATGCTTTTGCAAGGCCAAACTGTTCCGTGATCACGGCGCGGAGCGAAAGCTCTCCAACGACATTGCCCATGTCAAGAAAAGCATCGATAAACTTAAGCAGCAAATAGCCCAGGTGGAGAGCGGCATGAAGGATTTCGGTAAACGCAAGCGAACGAGTACAAATAACAACAAACTGGACCCTCAGCGTCCTGGAAAAGTTCAGAAGCACAAGAGGACCTGGTCAATGTCTTCGGGCAGCTCGGCAAATGGGTCAAGCAAGGCGCCAGCTGAAGACGACTGGCATGCCAAACTTCAGGCGCTTCAGGATATGTTTACCAGCACCCGACCTGTCAGCATTCTCTTCCTCCGCGGCGAGGAGCTTGACGACCCTGATCTGCATCCCGTGGCTCTCCCTGGGGACCCCGACTTTTCCAGGTTTGAGGATCGACATAGTGCCGCGTGGCAGGCGCGGAGTGGTCGCAGCTCAGTTGCCAGCTCGTCTCTAGTATCTCCATCCACAAGGTCTCCGTCCTTGGCTTCCCAAGTTTCGGGGATTGGGGGACGGTGGAGTGTAGATGGAAGTGATGGCGTTCGTGGTGTCCCAGATAAGCCGTTTCTGATCAAGAGGCCGGACCATGCGGGCGGAAACCTCGGCGGCTGGATAGAAGCCGTGGATGTCGACTCCAGCTATAGGCCGCCGCCCGAGAGGGATGTGAAGCCCGTGGCGTGCTTCTACATTCTTCGCCGAGGACAGGGAGCCGCTCAATCCAAGCGGAAACTCTACAAAGCCATCTACCTAATGAAACGCACAGAAAGTGAGTTCAGGACTCAGATTGGTGCCAAATGGGATTTGGAACCCTCCAGGATCCAGAGGATGATCCGCGTCCTACCCAGCGGTGTCGAAGTTGAAATAGACGATGATGTGATCCGCGAGGTGGACGAGGGTCAAGACATGATTATGGAGATGACCGAGGTCGACAATGGTGCTCCTCTCAAAACCGAATGGGAGATGATGGTCGATACCGGTGACGACGATACGGGCACATCGCAGCACCAAATTCGGCAGGGTTACGAATTGAGGTTCCTCTTCTAAGGTGGACCTCGACTTGCGGCACCCGAATTACAGCATTTATGTTAAGGATTAATGATGTGACGGTTATTGTGAACTTCTTGGTACAGCGAAGGTTTAGCGACGGTCAACGGGCAGATTGAAGATTTTTATCTCTGGGTGTTTCCCCCTTTGATATCCCTTTCCTATCTCTTTCTTCACTCCCGAGGCTACGAAGCCTCCGGTCTCTTCATGGAACACACGGAACTGTTGCAAATTCGCTAATATACGCGTCCGGAACTCTCGGTGTTGCGGTTTCTTTGGAGGAGTCCCGGTTCTGATTTATTTCGGGGGTATACTCAGTCTGCAATACAGCAGATTTGGACGGCAAGCCTCCAGGGAAATGAGGTCTATTTCACGTTTACGTTTTACTCTTTTACGTTTGGCGTGAGGGTTTTAGAACGGTTATGCTGCAGAGTGACTTTTCTGCTACCAAAAACGTTGGGCCAGGCCAGGGGGATGCGGTATGGGATGGGATGCGAGGAATAAACGACAAGCGAGTTGGATAATGAGATTAAGGAGAGGTCTATTTGATTTAGTGTATCTGCTTCATTCTTTTCTTTTGGGCGGAGGGGGGGGGGATTGGCAAATGTTCCCCCGGCTGTCTATATGTTGAGCTTCCTTGCGCGTGGTGATATTGATCGATATATTTGTTTCAAGACAAGACCTATTCAGCGTCCGATAGACTCGGAACAGTCGGTCACCTTGCGTCATGTGTGTTGTTGCTTTTTTTTTCCCTTTGATTTTCTGGCGATTCTCCTCTTTCTTGGCCTCGTGCGTTGCGGTCTTCTGGCTGTCTGTAGGTGGAATGTGCGGTGTGCCTGGGCTTATTCTTTAGGCTTACTCTTTTCTCCTTTTCTCCTTCTTTCTTTTTACATTTTCCTTTCCTTTTCTTGGTCTTCCCTCGACCATAATGTCCTCACTTTGCAGAGCTTGTGGGTGATGAGGATAATCCTAATGTAATTATTCTCTTCGGGCTATCTCCTTGGATGCTGAAAAAGTCAGGAGCTGGGGCAGAATACTCTGTGAGTTCGTTCTTAGCTTCTTCTGATTTTCTGTGAATTTCTTTCTTCAATACCCCAGTGTCTGGTTGAGGCGGGCTTGTTTAGAGATGATTGAACAGGAGGAAATATTCCTCGGGGCAGGATGCTCTCTGAGCGGAATAACTTCGTCCAAAGTCAACCGAGTCAAGACGACTCCAAGTCAAGTTAGCGTACAAGTACGTCATCGGAGAGAAAGGTCAGCTCTGCTCCATCACCCATCATCTGCCAGTTGCAGATGAGGGGTAAAAGCTGCAGATCATTGATCATTTCGCGACGCGAGGGCGCAAAACCCCGCGGGCCTCGGTCCCTTGGACGTTTGAGGGGTGGAAACGGCGCGGGGTGGACATCAATTGATGGTGTGTAGTGTATTATTTTTTTATGTTCCCGATGAATGCTTCATGCGCCGGCGGAGCTAAGCCGCCGACGGAGCTCGGGATTTTTCTTTTCCAAAAATATTGATGAACCGCCGACGGAGCTAAACCGCCGTGATTGTAACGCGGAGAAGGAGAGGTTAGGAGATAACATCATCTTTCTTTTCACCCCGCAAATCTAAATTCCGCTTCGATACGCGAGGGAGCTAAGTTCAATGTTGTTTAAACCCATTGGCCGGGCGCCTTGGGGTTAGCTTTAAGCTTTCTGGTGCTTGGCGAGAGTGGAGGCGAGTCGATTGTATTTCGTTGATTCCACTCTTCTGTTGTCATGGGTTGTTGACTCGGCAAGCCCCAGAAGAATGTCGAGTCGGGCTCTTTTCTTCTTCTTGTCTTGATTTTGATTTTCTTTTTTACGTTCTTTGCCTTTGGGGGTTTCGAGGAAGTGCCAGAAAATCAGTTTCGAAAGAAAAGGGCTGGAGGCAGCCAATGTTAACCTGGCTCGTTTATACGAATACGAGCATGGATAAAAATATCTAAATATCAGTTATCGGAAATATTCACATATCAGAAAAATCAATGACTCGCATTTCCACTTCGATTGTTCCTTTTGCATTTCTAAGCAAGCCCGTTTCTGGAGTCAATTGACCCTTGAGAGCAAGTTTGGGACGGACCGTTTTCTGATTGGTTCCATGTTTTCGTCACTCTCGTCAATGTTTGCATTCGATGCCGATCACTTGCTCCCAAATGTCTTCTTTCGGATCCGAAGATCGGAGGAATTTTCAACATCATACCGCCCTTTTCACTTTGCATTTGTTGACGTGTTGGCGATTCGCATGCAGGTCGAGAAAATGTGATGGTGATGAGATCTCGGAAATCGTTGCTTGATATCAAGATCAAAGCGATCAAGATTTGACGGCAACAAACTCCAAGATCCAGCCAAAGGGAAAGGGGAAACCAAAAAGGAAAAAAAGTGCCGGGAACCCACCCTTGTAATTACAGGTCCTCCCCGGCTCCGCTAACATTAGAGACCTTTGCCCAGCCCAGCCCAGCCCAGCCCAGCCCAGGGGGACCCCGCTCCGCGCCCTTGATTCCGCCACTTCGTCGGTTTTTTTTTTTTTTTCTTTTCTTCCTCGTGCTCGTTTTCAATCGCAGCTTCTGCGAGCTAAGAGCCGATAAAGACCGTCCGTCCGCCCGTCGTCGCGTCAAGCTAATGCTCTGCAAGCCACCCACCCATGCATTCCTGCCATATGGGCGAGAGCCGGTGAGATGGACCGACCGCTCCTTTGGTTTTGCCATAATTGAAACAGAAGCATCGTGAGAACCATCGGGCATCGAACTTATACGGTCCGACGGACTTTTTTCTGCCTTTTTTTCGGACGCACGCCGGTTGAGAAGCACTGACCTCGATCGAAGTGGACTCTCTCCAGTCCAGTCGAGGGAACATCTCGTCCTGTCCAATTCAGTAGCCGGAACCGAACCGAATCCACACAAGTGGAAGTGGGGCCAACATTGATCAGATTTGAACGCTCTATTCCCTTTTAGACAGACTCTGGATCTCAGGTGAAATGAGTAATGAGTACCTTTAGCCCTCTTGGGAGGACACCCTCGGGATCACGATCAGCTGGTCTGCGCTGTGAGCTCGCCCAAGCTCCGATGTATGATGTTGCTGGAAACGTTGAATGCCGAACCTCTTGACGTCGCACTCTGATATTCCTCAGATGTTCTTCTGCTTCTGGCTCTTCCTCCATGGCGATCGCAATTCTCTTCCCGCTGACGAACCCCACGACTGATACGACACACACAAGGCGATGCTCTGATACTAGCGCGCAAGTAGTTACAGTTACGAAGTGATGTCGTCGATCCCTGGACCCGCTACGACTCCGTCGAGGCGACGACGTTGACCCCAGTGGCCCCCCATCCATCTCCATCCACTGATCCATCATCCCCCCATCAGGAAGATCCCTCCCTCCCCCCCCAATCCCCAGGACGGCCCTAGGCCCGCACCCAAGACTCCACTCGGCATCCGGTTCCGGTAATGGACATGATTGGGTTTGTCATATGTCCCATGTTCCCAACTGTTTTTTTCCGTCCTGCTCCATTGTCCAATGTCCAATGTCCAATTGTCCAGTGTTGGCCCTTGTCGTTGCGGACCCTCCTGTTTGCCCCCGCCCTCCACCTCCTCTCCCACTACCTCCACTCCCTTCCGCAGCTAGCACGTTTTTTTTTTTTTTTTTTTTCTTTCCTTTTTTTTTTTTTTCTTTTTCATCTTCTCCTGTTGAATCCTACCATACTTCGTACGGGGCATGGGGGGGAACACCAACTGCAATGTACAAATAGTGTCCTTCACGACTAGACCCTAGTCCGTATGGAGTCCTTGGGAAAGACGTGATCGCCTCTCTAATTGGGCCTTGCCCACCTCTCGTACCCGTAGCGGACGGTAGTGTACGCACCCGGACATACACACACACACATATATGTTCCGACTCATCTCTCTCCGTTATGTTAGTTTCTTACTCCGGATGGTCTTGTGCCTCGGCCAACCCTCCCTTCTTTCTCTCGTTTCGCCATATTCCCCCTCCGTACTTGTTTAGTCCTTTGTGTGTGAAATGTCAACGGTAGAATTGGTCCTATCACGATTACTTGGCTTTCTCATGTTTAGTATAAGCAATTGATTGTATATTCTTTTTATTTTCTTCCCGACCCTTGCCCCGTCCCCATACCTGTGCCGGGAGTCATCCTGTCATCGGTTCTCTAAGTCCCTCCCCAAATCATGGAGAAAGGCAGGGCCAGTGACGTCCAGGAGACTCCTGTTTCCCTTCGACCCTCCCCAGCCGATGCTACGCCGGGATCCGCCCCGCATCCTCATACCTCCTCCTCCTTCTCTCACTCATTAGCCTCATCTCCTTCCGAAAAGGAAAAGGAAAAGAAGATTGATGACGATTCCCGACCAGCCTCAATAGCCAGTGTCAAGCAAGAAGAAGCGCAAAGCCTAGACACCTATGAAGATCTCGAACGCGCCATCGCCGCGGACGACGGAGACAGCGACGACGACGACGACGAAGAAGAAGACGGAGAAGCCATCCAGAATGTTCTGACCCACATCCGAACCGCCACCAGCATATGTAGCTCCGCTTCCCGGCCCCCGGACTACGAAGTCACCTTCGAGCCCGGCGACCCCGAGGACCCCCGGAACTGGTCCGTCTGGTACCGCAGCTGGACCATCGGCGTGTTGTCCTACTCCAACTGGGTTATCGTGCTGTACAGTACCAGCTACACCGCTGGGATTCCCGGCTTGATCAAGGACTTTAACGTCTCGACGCCCGTGGCTACTCTGGGACTTACTACGTATCTCCTCGGTCTCGCTGCGGGGAGTCTGGTCGTGGCCCCGTTGAGCGAGCTTTACGGAAGGCAAAAGGTTTACCTTTGTTCCATGGTCGCGTCGCTTTTGCTCATCATTCCTTGTGCGTTGGCTAAGACGCTGACCGAGATGATTGTTGTGAGGTTCTTTGGGTATGTTATTTTTTTCGTAGTCTCATTGCCGGCAATCATGAGAGTACATCTCGACCTGTCCGCTTGTTCTCTCTCGCTTTGCTCTGCTTCCCACTTTCTTCTTAACAAGGCTGACGTGTGGTCCTCTCTCCTCTCTCCTCGATATGTAAAGAGCACTCTTCGGCTCCGCCTTCATAACCAACAGTCCGGGCTCCATCGTCGACATCAGCTCCGAAAAACACAGAGCTCTCGCCATGTCCCTCTGGTCCATCGCGCCCCTCAACGGCCCCGTAACTGGCCCCTTGGTCGGCGGCTTCATCTTTCAGTACCTAGGTTGGCGGTGGAGCAACTGGATCGTGCTGATGCTCCAGGGCTTCAGCATGCTCCTTCTCCTAACGCTGAGGGAAACCTACGCGCCGACCATTCTCCAGCGGAAGACGGCGAGGAGGCGGAAGGAGACGGATGATGAGCGGTGGTGGTGCAAGTATGACGAGAGGGTATCGAAGTGGCAGTTGCTGAAAACGAATATGGCTCGGCCTTTCACTTTGAGCGCCACGGAGCCCATCTTGTGGTTTTTCAACGTTTGGTACGCTCGTCCACCCCCTTGACAAATTTATGATGAAAAATAAAGTCCTAACATGCCCACAGGATCTCCCTCATTTATTCTATTCTCTACCTCTGTTTCCTCGCCTACCCCATCATCTTCTCCCAACATCGCGGTTGGACCCCAGGTATGACCGGCCTCTCCTTTAGCGGCATCGGCATCGGCACCCTCATCGTCATCTTCTGCGAACCCCTCTTCCGCCGCATCATCAACGCGCAACCTCGAGACCCCGAAACCGGCGCCATCCTCCCCGAAGCCTCTGGGAGCATCATGACCCTCGGTGCTATCCTCACGCCCCTCGGCCAGCTCGGCTTCTCCTGGACCGGCCTCCCCACCACCATCCATTGGGCCGCCCCCATCGCCTTCGGCATCCCCTTCGGCGCGGGGAACACCCTCTCGTTCATCTACGGGTCAAATTACCTCGCATCCTCGTATGGTATCTACGCGGCGTCGGCGCTCGCTGGTAACGCCGTGTTCAGGAGCATTCTTGGCGGCGTGCTACCCCTTGCGGGACCTAGCATGTATGCGAAGTTAACGCCGCAGTGGGCGGGTACGTTTCTGGGATTGTTGGAGGTCGCTATGATTCCGATCCCGTGGGTGTTTTGGAGGTATGGGGCGAGGATCCGGGCGAAGAGTCGCGTGCTTGTGCAGATGAGGGAGGAGCAGGAGGCGGCGGAGAGGAAGAGGGAGAGGTATGAGGCTTGGAGAGAGAGGAGGGATAGGAGAGAGGCGATGCGGGCTGCCCAGGTTGCCCAGGTTGTGTGAAAGATTCTATTTTTAAAAAAGAAATAATTTATTTATTCTCGGAGACTGGGGGGGAGGCTAGGTGTGGACGGTGAGAAAGTTGGGATGGGTTAGGGCCAGGAAATCATGACCTCTCTCGACATTGTGTCGGGCTTTTCTTATTTTTTTTTTCTTTTCTTCTATTTTTCCCTTCGATATTTGGAAATAGCGCGTAATGATTTAGAAATACAAGATTCCGTAGATAGGTTGGCTATTTTAATAGATCTACTCTTAGAGTATCTGGCGTTCAGTCAAACGTGTAACATATGCCGTTGAGGCTCTCTTGTCGATCCAGACGAGCTAGGGAGGCAGCTTTCATCCTATACATCAAGGGACACATGGGAACAACCACACCCACCGTCTGGAATCAAGTTGGCGCGTCTGGCTCCAAGCTTCCCTCGCCTGCGCTGGGTATAAGAAGTGAATACGAACAACATATCAATTTGGCCTGCGACATGATCCCTCTCCGGGATTATAAGACGAGACATTGGAGATTCGATGTATGAATGGCTTGTGGTCTTTTCTAAATAAATTCCTAGTGCCTCGAGCACTCTTGCTGGGCGAGGGTGCAGCAGTTCGGATAGACACAATCTGCTCGAGGCTAGTGCGTTTATTCTCCATTTTCTCAAGACATCAAGGCTGAGTTTGAGGTTGGGCACTGAGTGGTGCCACCGGGTTATTGGGACCTGTTTTGGCGAATGACTCTCTGTGTAGAGGATATCAAATAGAGATTTGTCCCCGGAGAGGTAAAGGGGCGTGGGAGAGTTGTTAGGAATGTTCACGAATCAAGAACAGCTCCCCAAGGGGCCTGGCAACTGGGCTTAAGTTCCCTCCTCAACCGCCTTGTTGAGCATCTCTTTCACATTCCGAACAGCATCGGCCTCGGCCTCCTTGACGCCACTGACAACCACGGTCTTATCCCTCGACTTCATTCCATGTGAAATCTGAATCTCAGATTTCGGTTTTTTCAAAACCTTGGTTTCATATTTTTAGCACTGGCGCATATTCTCCTTCCGTCGACACTTTAAAGACAACCCAGCTCACCTCGCTAAATAGCTTTACGACGGCTTTGTTGGCTTCGCCTTCCCTCGCCTGAGCTGATACACATAGCTCAATCACCTCATCCGACACGGAGAGGATACCCTCCCGGACTCTACTGGCGCCCGGTTTGACGTGACAATTTAGTTGGAGTGAGCCGACGGGGTTCTTTTTGGTGCCGGCGAGGAAGCGGATGGCAGATTTGGCGGACATTGGCACGGATGTAAGGCGACTTTATGCGTCGTGGAGTGTGACCGGGCGAATGTGTCCAGTCTGTTTGAAGGTGGGCGAATTGATTTGTGAAGTCAAAGATGCATGCTGAGATAATTGAATGATTGGAGGGGGTCAAAGGTCTGATATGTTCAGATGTATTTTCTTGATTGAAGTCAACGTTAGGCCACCCACAGGCTCTACTGTGTTTTCGGGCCTGGGCGACTCTTCTCATTCAACACACTCATTCTCGGCCTCAATCCCCGGTGAAGCCACTCCTGACGCAACAGTCAAGACAGCCGTCCCGTCGTGTGCTTAATGAGCCAAGATAAGCTACTGGTCGCATAAACTACGTTTGCAAGTCCGAGTTTCCCCAATATTTCTTGCAGCACAGCCCACTCCGATTTGGAGAAGTGACTGTTGAGCATCTACGGATCATGGCGTTCCAAGTTCTCAATACCTTCCTCGCCACAGAACTTGGGGGGACATGGAAGATCAAAGACGCATCTGCTCAGGATCACCGACTGCCATCGTCACAACTCCCATAAAATGCGAATGGCGCAAGACCTCGAATTGAGGATGGTATTTTGGGTTAGTCTTCCCTTTTTTAAAGCACAAAACCACTATCTATCGACCGGATGCGTAACCGAACCATTATCGGCGAGGGACGAAAACATCTCTTGGCGGGGCGGTGATCTCTCTTTCATGTAATGTGGTTTGTATTTGTGGCCGTGTCCCTTAGAAAAAGACATACCCCGACGAAACCTGCCCCTTCATGCAACCAAAAATAACGCCAGGAACCCTGAGCTGTGCCGAATTAAAGACATTCCAACATGGTTTTTTTTGAAGTTTAAACGTCAGAAATCTCGCGGAGACGTCGGAGAGTAGAACGAGCGGTCGTGGCAGCGGGGGTACTATGTCGAAAACCTAGGTTAGCCATACCAAAAACCGTCCTCTCGACGTAAGATTCATTCCCTGGATTCAAAACTTACGCGAGGATGTAGGCACCACCGGAGATGGTCTTCCTGCAACCGCCGCAGTGCCAGATACCGAAGGCCTGACGACGGACAGTGTTGCGGCCGCAGAAAGTGCTGATTCCAGACGCATTAGCTTCCTTCGCCCATCCCTCTTTCAAAAATCCCTTCCGTTCTTCGACGTCACTTCGAAACATACCAGGTGTACCGCGCGTGCTGGGAGATTTCCAGTCGCTTGACGACCTTTCGGAGGGAGGCACCGTATCTAATCGCAAAAAATGTTAGGCGGATGAAGTCGATTGACGAAGGGAGACGAGAAGTTGGATTCGTTCGTACCTCGTGCCGTACTTGCCGACAATGCCGACCTCTGTGATACTGGTTAGCTAGTCATTATAATCAAGAAGGAAAGTATATCGCATACTCTTAGTGTGCTTCGCCATTGTGTCGTTTGGTTTGACTGGAATCTGGCGATTGAGATGTGTAGTTGGCGATTCTCGTGATAATTGCTGGGATGCGAAAAATCGGCAATTTTGGGCTACAGAGAAATTTGTGTGGCCTGCGAAATCATGGTGGGGGCTAGTCACGTGGAGAAATTTGGCTGGTCTCAATTGATGTTGGGATGGTGAATCCCCAATCAAGATAACGTAATCAGCGTAGGAGAGGAGCCATGGAAGCCCAACCTGGACAAGGCGAAAATACAACTGGCATCAGATGCCAAAGAGATTTCGGGTGGCGCCAACTCGACTGTAGAAAGCGACGAGAGCTTCACTTTCGAACTTCGTCTCCAACCCAACACAGTTGCTCCTAAACGACGACTTTTCATGGTCAGGCCTGCACTGTCCCGTATCTACCCCAAAGCTATGAACGCTCCCTTCACGCAAAGTGCGCCGAATGGCGTTGCGAGACCTTCCTACCGTACCATCACCTCCCTAAGTCGATGGTCGTGTCAAGCGACGCCTCTGCCTCGTAAGGACCCTCGAAAGTTCTGTCCTAGACAAACACAATGTTTGCTAACCCTAGCGCGCTCTGCTTCTTAGCCGTTGACCAGATCAAGACAATTCATGTCTACGATTTTGATAACACTCGTAAGTTTTTTTTTTACTTTGCCTCCCGCAAACATTTACGCGCGACCTTCGTGAGTAACGTTAGTTTTTCACCTTGTCTATAGTCTTCAAGACGCCGCTCCCGAATCCCTCACTATGGAACGGCCCAACGATTGGATTGCTATCGAGCCCTGACGCACTCACCAACGGTGGCTGGTGGCACGACTCGCGCATTCTCGCAGCAACGGGCGATGGCATCGAGAAAGAAGAGGCCCGAGGCTACCAAGGCTGGTGGAACGAGAAAATCATCAACCTTGTCCGGCTAAGCGGAAAACAGAAAGATGCCCTCTGCGTTCTTCTAACAGGCCGATCCGAACATGGCTATGCGGAGCTAATCAAGAGGATCTGCAAGAGCAAGAAACTCGAGTTCGACCTGATGGGACTGAAACCCCGCGTCGGTCCCCAGGATGAGCGATTCAACAACACGATGCAGTTCAAGCAGGCTTTCCTCGAGGCGATCATGGAGACGTACAAGTTTGCCGAGGAGATTCGTATTTACGAGGATCGTCACAAGCACGTTAAATTGTTTAAAGATTTCATGATGGACTATAACATGCGGCAGAACGGTGCTGCGATCGGAGCCGCGTTTAGTCGAGCGCCCATTTCTTGGGACGTCATTCACGTTTTCGAAAAGACGATACATTTGAAGCCTGTAGTGGAAGTGGCGAAGGTTCAGCAGATGATCAACGAGCACAACCTGGCGATCGCCAAGGCCCTCGACCCGCCGAACCCGAATTCGAACTCGGGGCCGGACCCGCCGCCGAGGGACAAGCTTGCTATCAAGAAGACGGTCTTCTTCACGAGTTATACGATTAAGTACGCGGACTCGCAGAAGCTGATAAAGCTGGCGCAGATACCACCGGGTGTAGCCGAGCAGGATCTGAAGTACCATGGTAACAACATTCTCATCTGTCCGCGCCCCTGCCCCGCAAGCATACTGGAGAAGGTCGGTGGAATGGGAAGTAAGATGAAGTGGATGGTGACGGGCACAGCGTGCCACGATAACAGTATTTGGGCCGCTTGCGTGCGTCCGGTCCCGGACACGGCCAAGTTCCACACTGACAACCCCTGCCCGCTCGTGGTGCTCGCGCTGCGTAAGGGCGCTCGACCCATCGATGCGGGTAAGATTCAGAGCTGGCAGCCCGTCCCTGCCGACAAGGCGTATGTTTTTGAGACTACGGTGCGGGAGAAGGTGCTCCTCCGGATAGAACCGGATGACCCTAGGGAGGACGAATATGAGAGTCTCTTCGCGAACAAATCTTCCAAGAGGAAGCATAACGCGGACGATGAGTATCCCCGCGGTCCCAAGGAGTCGTACCACAGTCGGAATGACCAGAGGGGAGGATTCCGCGGTAGAGGAGGCTACCGAGGAGGTCCTTCTGGTTCCCGCGGCTACAGAGGTGGTGGTCGGGGCGCTTCGCGAGGTGGTCGTGGTCGTGGTGGCGGATACAACTCGTATAGGTCACTTGATGATGTTGATACTCGGAACCAAGGTCATGGCGTCGAATACGATGATAACCATCCGCCTAACCAAGGATTCGGCGGTCATGGCCGACAGCCGCCTACACAGCCAGCTGCCCATGGTCGGCCCGGAGGCAATACTGATTTAGGAAATTACTACTAGGACCGGTTTTGATCAGTCTTCCGTGGCGAGCTGCAGCGGCTGTGGTCTTTTTTGGGGGCTGTCGGTTCTCGTCTGCTGCTTTCATATACGTTACCCCCCAATTCATAACGGATTCGGGGCTACCGGGACCCGCCAAGGGTTCTTCATACGTTTTAACTAGCCTCAGCATAAAAGAGAGGTCTCGTCTTCCGTAAGACATGGCAACAGGCATAGCGCGGGGTGGTATCAGCGGATTTTGAGTTTTTCACTTCATCGATTCTTTTAGCAAGGTCCGGTTTATACGTTTTTATATTTTTCCCTTGTCTTTTTTTCTGTTTACGGATTGACAGATTGACTTTACTTGATATCAAACGCATGGCGTATTCAGGCGGCAATGGGTGAATTCGGATGGGTAACTGATACCAAGGTTATGCTTAAGTAGGAACAATGTTTAGATTAGTTGATACATATATCTTTAGGCTTGCCACTCCTCCGTCTCTGTGAAGTCAATGGCGATTAGAAATGAATCCTCAAAAAAAAAAAAAAAAAAAAAAAAAAAAAAAAAAGAGCAATTACTGCCGCTCCGCCATCACGACCATATTCAGGTGGAGCATTCTTCACGGCCAAGGCGGGTTTAGGGAACAGGACCGTGACAATTCTCAACTACAGCTTCCACTAATAGCTCAGCCCAAAATTCGGGGCACACGATTCAGCTTGTCTTTTTTTATTGACCTAAACGCCATCTATGTTCAGAGATTCGATCCGCATAAACCCTACATCCCTTCCATGTTCATAAAATCCCTTCCTACTCATCATCATCATCCTCGTCATCACTATCATCCTCCTCCTCCGCATTCTCTAGCCACTCCACAAGCGCCTTACACCTCTCCTTCACAGCCTCCATACTGCTGCCCTTAACAGCCCGCTCATCCTCCCACCACGTCAAAATCCCATCCTCCTCAAGAATATCAAGCGCATACAGCTGCTGAAACAGCGCGGCGAGTAGCAACCCAGCCCTAGCAGACTCCAAACTCCTCAACCCGGATACGGCGCGCTGCAGAGCCAGCGCAAACTCGACCTGATCGGCTTCAGACTCGCCGACGCCGACCTCCTCGACGAACTTGCTGACGCCCTTGCGGGCGCGGAGGGCACTCTCAGCGGCCTTGGTGGGCTCGAGGCCTGAATCGAGAAGCTCGGCGGTGCGGCGGGCGAGCGTGACGGCGACGGCCTTGCGGACGGCGGCTTCGGAGGCGTCATTGGCGAGGCGGAGGCCGAGGAATTCCATCTTGGCAGAGTCGAAGTCGCCCGTGGGGTCGCGGAGGGCGTCGAGGAGGCCATTGACGGCGTCGGTGTGGAAGGAGGAGCGGCTGGTGGAGTCGTCCGATGCGAAGGAGGAGAGGCGGGAGCGGGTTGAAGTGAAGCCTGAGGGGGTGTCTGGGCGAGAGCTGCCGTGGTCCGAATCTTCGTCGTCGGAGGCGAGGGTGGAGATAGAAGAGCTTGAGAAGGAGAGGTGCTCGATGGAGTAGATGAGTCGGCGTTGGAGGGAAGACGGGTCCTCCTCGGCAAGTTCGTCCTCTTCAGGGTCCACGAAAGGAGCACCTTGGGCCGAAGCACCTAGAAGCTTGACGTCTGGTTGAACTTGCAAGCCACCGGCGTCGACCTTGGAAATGAGAGCATCCTTTGCAACCGTAATGTTATCGCCTGTAATTACACCAAAAGAAAGGACACATCCCTCCTCAATAGTACACTTGTTTCCGACTGTCGCGCCGGCTCCTGCTATAATCGAGCGCGTGATGGTGGTATTGTCGCCAACGGTCGTGCCGTCCCAGATGAAGCTGTCAGTGATGGTGACATTCTTGCCAATCTTGCAATTGCGACCGATAATTGTGTTCAGAATGGTTGATCCGTCGCCCACGGAACTCTTTCTCGCGATAACAGACCCGGAAATGTGAGCATCGTTTGCCAGTGACACATCGCGCTCAAGGTAGTTCCCGCCCCTGGTAAGTTCGTACGCCTGACCGGGGAAGATGTTGCAATCGGGGACGAAGGGGAAAGACCACCGACCCAAGATATCGCGGCTGACAGATTCGTACATGGGGAGACTGCTAGCGCGGGCCGCATAGCCTTCCTCGACAATCTCTGCGTATATGGACTTGCCGTTTAGCTCCCAGTCCTTGAGCACACCGTTAAGGAAATCACGACGGGGCATCTCGTAGTCAAAACTATCGGACCAAAGGGCCAGCGCGGCGGGTGTGCAGATGTCGATCTGGGGATCGATGAGATCGGCTCGAATCTCAAAATCTGTGGCCAGCTCGTCCAGCACCGTGGGGTCCAGAATAGTATAGTGGTCGGACTGCAGGGGGTGGATCTCGTCGTATTGGAGACACCTCTTTGTTTCCGTATCTACGACGTATACAGGTGTAATTCCGGGTGTCTTCGTCCTATGGGAACTCGAACCGGCGTTCTTGAGCACGACGGTCATGATATTGTCAGCGCTGGCCTCACGACGCTTGCGATGCGCGTCGAGGATGCCTTGGATGGGAATATTAGAGACGAGGTCGCCATGGACAAGGATGAAGTCACCCGAGATTAGACTGCGCTTGTCGAGGTCGCGAAGGATATCACCAACTGAGTTGGCGTCGGATACTCGGACGAATTGAAGGTGGGTGAAGGGAGTCGTCTTGGAGCCTTGCGCCCATCGTGACTTGGAGATGTAGGCCTCTACCTCTTCGGTATGGGGACCACAGTATAGGTAAACTTCCTGGACTCCATTCATAGAGAGGAATTCAAGGGTGTATTCGATTAGGGGGACATTGGCGAGGGGGAGGAGACACTGCGACAGGGGTCAGAAACCGGTGAGCGAGGGTGAGAAACAGATAGGGATCACCAAGTTCATTAAACATACTCTTGGTGTCTCAATGCTCAAGGGCTTGAATCGGTCTTGAAAAGAGTCTGTAAGGACCTGCAAATGAATGGTGGTCAACTATTGCAGCCCTTTCATCACAACATTGAAGTTTCGCATCGCATCGTGGCTGCCCCACCATGGAAATCGTGGAGGGGGAACAAGGGTCATCATCTTACCACAGCTTGCAGCACCTCCTCAGACTTGCTCTCAGCACTGGGCTTAGAGCTCTTTTTGCCCTTGCCAGCACCAGCGGACTGCTTCCCCTTTTGATTAGACATTTGATCGGAGGGAGGCGTTGAAGAAGGTCGTGTTTTGTGTAGTGTTGCGGGATGTGGTGGGATGGTGTAGGGAAGTTGGAAGTGGTTGATGAGTCAAACTAATTTACACACTTTTTCCCGACTCCCAGCTCGGTAAGATGCTGTCATGGTGGGGTCCTTCCACGGGGTCTTATACTTTGTACTTTGTACACAGGTACTTCGTACATCTGCGCGAGACTCGAAGAGTCGCAGCAGTCGAGACGGCTCCTCAGCACAGACCAGCTAAACAACTAAGTGTGGGAAACAAACGTTGTTGACCAGGAAAGGAATTTCCTGGTGGAACTAGGAAAAACGGTGCCCTACTTGGTGTGAGGTTCGGCAGCTCAGGCCAGCTGGCGGCAGCCAGCCGGGCCGCCAACACTAAGGTTATATAATCAATGGTGATTCACCATCGCCAAGGCGGCCATATGCTTCTCTTGTCCTCCATCCTCCTCGAAATCGGAGTCTCATAACCTCAAGGATCATTGATAGATAATACACTCCATAGACGATACATGGTGGGATTTAATTTGATATCTATGAGATTCTAGTTCATTCTCTCCATCATTTCCCTCAGTCATCAAAGAACGTATCCAGTCTTGAAAAAGTTTATGGAAGTGGGGTAGTGGAGGGGTTTCGTTACTGGAGCTGCCACCAAGACCAAAGATATTGTGTATTTGTGTGCCAATATCGAGCGAGCTGGCGGCCATCTGTGTGGGCCTGCCGCGCGGCTGCGCTTGCAGAGGACCGCCTCCGACCGAAGCAATCCTCGACCTCAGGAGAGAGCTCACTTTCCCAAAGATTCCCGGGAAAGCGGCTGCAGACTGACCTCTCCCATTAACATTATTTCCGAGTTTATCTCGAGATGCTTAGGACTTCCGCAAAATCTGTGAAGAATCCCATGAGTTCATGATGATCGAAGAACTAAATCCGATAATATAAGCTCCGGCCCGAGTATATCAACATTAGTTATTAGAAGAAGCAACAATAATGATTAATGTTTGATGACTCAGATGCTTCGCTTAGTTTGCCTAGAGAACCTTGTATTCAATAAGGAAGTCGTGACGGGTGATGTGAAGAAGGCGTTCCTAACCCACCCAGTTCCATTGATGGCTCTTACCTCGTAGCAGAATATAACAAATTCAATTCCTCTCCTGCCAGGTCCCAGACGCGCACTTCATACTTCATTTCTTCCTCTACGTCAGCCGATATCCGCTGTATAAAACTCGTGACACCGGCTTCTCTCAGCGCATTCCATCTTCTGAGTGGCGGTCGCCCTTGCAACAGAACTCCGATCACCATGTCATCTAATCAAGAAGATACGAACCGGCAACTTGTCCAGCAATGTGCCGCCTTTCTCCAGCGGCCAGAGTTAGATCCACAGACCCGAGATGCGCTTCGTGCATTTGTTACATCGCCGCTCGCAACTTGCGTGCCGCCTTCTGTGAACTATGTTGACAACATCGAAGAACGTGCTCGGATCGGCCACGCTATACAAGAGTGTGACAGAAATCCACCAACGGGTCGTGCTAACCCTATCTTATGGAGTCTAATTATGGTCGCGCCGCTCGATCGGCTTCGGGAAATGCTCGATGAGACGTGTACCAATCAATCCAGCGTCCTATCGTCCAAGGCCATCTTCTATGGGCTTGGGAATATTTTAACCAGCCTTTTGAAGATTTGTATGAGTCCTTTCCTCTTTAATTCAACGGTGGATGGACATCTAACGGACATGCAGTTTTGGCCAAGGATCAGGTGCGTCCTGATCCTCTGCCCTACCAAGAACGTGGCCTCCCCCCAACGGCAGTGGTAAGTCTTGAACGGCCTGATACTACTGGAATGGTGGAATGGAGGACCGTTAACCTGTATTAACCGAGCGCTAGTGCCGTTGGAGGGATAGCCACCGTTGCGTCTTGACAGGCGCCGCCAACCCAACCGTGTGCCACATCTTCCCCTACGGTTCGGAACAACGGCGGAAATCAGTAGACCAAATATTTGGGCTTTTGATTAATTTCTTATGGGGATCGGAGCGCTGCGCACGGCTACAGGCTCTGTTAACCGCCAATGACCGTGTTCTCGACTCCCCGCAGAACATGATCTGCCTCGAGCCGCTCCTCCATCGTTGGTGGCGCATGGCTTATATCGCCCTTGAACCATACGAAAAGCTCCCGGATGGTGTGAGGGTCAGGCTGAGATGGTTGCATCGCACCCCGTTTGATGTGGAGCAGAGGTTGGACCTTGACACCGACCCGCGTCAACACCTCTCATCCCCATCAGTGGCAGGCCTTTTGAAAATGGTTGACTTCCGGTCAGGCCACCCGTTGCTCGATGGGACTATTGTCGATCTTGTGTCCAGTGACCCCAATCAATGCGTGTCATTCGAGATACTTGAGCTACAATGGGACTTGCTACGCCTTGCCGCTCTCTCAGGAGCTGCGGAGGCGGCCCAAGGTGCGAGCTGGGACCCTGATGATGACCTTTCCTTTGGTATACAAGAGGGACGGCAAGTCGCCTCGTCGCAGCGAATATTTGTAGACTAGAGCTCGGGGAAATTTATCTCAACCCCCCGGGAAGAAGTACCCGAACATCATCACGGAGGACTAGATTTCTGCACTCTATCTACGGAACCTGTCTAGGTGTTATACTACATGAACTTCGGTACTAGAATAGGAGAAATACTTTCTCATCTACAAAACCGATGCCTAACCGACGATGTATCTTCATTGACCCTTCTCCTACAAGCCCCTGTGTGAGGAGCAGGACATAGCAAGTGACACTCTTTCTTCCCACTCTAAGTTTCCTAATTGCGGAGGCCTAACCGCGTATCTTCGATATCTTCCTAGCGTTGCACTCCAGCTCGCGAAAGCCGGTCTCGTCCCAGTGCCGGCGCTTCCACTTATCCCAGCCAGCCTCACTATCCTCATGTTCTCCCTCACATTCTTCCTCTTCTGAATCGCAGTCACGCTCTCGGCCATCGTCACCGATATCACAGCATGTCTGGCCACCTTTGCGGGAGTGAGCTTCGCCAGCATGACCAGCGCAGCAGTTCTTTTCGCGTTGACCGTGGTATTCGAACGTCTCGTTTCCCATGAAAGGGACTGAACGTGAGCCCCTCTTGAATAGTTAGCCGTCGCGTCCGTTGGCCTATAATACGAGACCGGGTCGCGATTGTCTTTTTGAATTCAGCAACATCTACCGGGTATAAGATGGGATGTGATGTAAAGTGGAGGGAGGGATATATAGAAAGTTTACGGCTACGGCTCTTGAATGATATTAGTATGGTTAAGAGGGTGATTATGTCTAAGCATTGTCTTACATCCGCCCTTCCTTCTTTCTGGCCATTCCATGTCCAGCTTCCATCATTTCAACCTTGCTGATGCCCAAATTGGCTGGGGCGGGGCCGTTCCTACACGGCAGAGATGTCTATATCGCGTCATGTCGACGATGATGAAAAGTCTAGGAATTCCTCGGTTTCTTCCTACCTGATGCTTCAGACACCATTATGGGTTCAGTAGATCCAAGAATCGAGTCTCCATCGCCGAGCGCTACATTACTCTCGCTCTAGTGTAGGCTGTAGTAGCCGTCCGGTCCCAACACTTGATAGTAAACGACTTCTCCGTTCTCCTATCACTCACCCCTCCACAGGGTCTGATTTCAACAAGGTTCACGCCGTGACCTCGCCGATGTAAGATTCACCCGGCCGACCACGCGCTCACCTCAGCATTTGGCTTAAGATCGGACAACTTCCGTCCTTTGCTCCTGCTGAAGCGAGGCCTTAAATCTATTGAGCCAAGTTGCAATCTACGGGTGCCACTCGGGCTCCGGGACCGGCTGATGTAGCGGAGGTGCTCCGGCCAACAAACCAAGCATTTATGTAAACTCCATATTATTTTTGATATGATGTATCCCTCATCCCGTCTCGATTCGAATTGAAATGTGTGTCGTCTCTTTGTATCATTGGTACAACGCCCTATGCATCTAATGTGTGCATGATACCCCATTCCGAAGCCTGTCCCAGTTCCACCATATAACACGTATGTCCTCATGGTTTTATATACAGATACATGTATTTTTTGGCCGTTCCCACACACCTTTCCATTCGAGCAAATCTTCCCAATGCCCATCCTATACCCCTCCTCTCTTTTCTTCTTTCCCTTCTTATAATAAAATGCAAAACCTCACAAATGACTGATATGCCGAAACAACGAAATGACCTATGATACACCTTAAAATCTCCACGCTTGTAAAGCACCAAAGCAGCTTTACCCCGATCACCAAACGGTATGGCATGTAGGACCACAAGATGGCCTACGGAGGGCTGCGGGCAGCCCGGAGCGGGAATTAGAGCGGGAATCATAGCAGGAACTACCTCATCAAACCTGACGAGCCAGAAATGCGCTGTCTCTTCTCAGGCCTACTATCATCTCTCCCCCCTTGCCCAGGGGGCCCCATCGCCGACGTCATAAAGCCAGCATACTGGCCGCCCGCCTGGGTCGCCGCCATTACCATCTGATGTCCCGCATTCACGGCCAGCCCGCCCATGGTGAGAGGGCTGTTGGTCGGGGAGTGGTTCGCCATGGGGCTGGGTGAGTGCCATGATGGGCCTTGGGCCGTCGACGGCGACTGCATTGGCGTATTATCGAACTTCATCGTCATGTGGCCCGTTGCTAGCGCGACGGCGTCGGGACCGGACATCTCGGTGGCGGTTAGACTCGCGCCGGTCTGGACGTTTCCGTACGGGTTATCTACCGCCGAGGTTGGTGGGGAGGGTTGGGCGAGAAGATGGCGGAGATGCTTTCGTAGCATTCGCTGCATTCCATCTCGCATGAAGGGTTTGGCCAATACATCCGTCATCCCTTTTGCCCTGCATTAGTTTCTTTTCCAAGGGAGTAGGATTGCTGGCCTTCGTTGAGCCACTCGCAACAAAGATAAAAACGCTTACCATATTGAAAATATGTTGACACGTCCTCTTGTCGGATGTTGGAAGTCATAGCCACGATTGGGCACTGAGGTAGCCACTCTCTAATGCGCGATGTTGCCGACACACCATCTAAACGGGGCATGAGGATGTCCATAAATATGAGATCAAAGTTAGGCACGGGTTTGCTATCGAATAACTTGACGGCATCCAAGCCATCTTTCTGTATAGGGGGAGATGATGTCAGTCCGAACGGCCTCAGAAACCAAAGTCATGATGACTCTTAAGATATTTGAATACGTACCGCTAGTTCCACGGTACAACCAAGACTCCGGAGGAACTTGGTGCCAATCTTGGAGCAAATTTTATCGTCTTCCACAAGGAAAACATGGGGCTTCCTAGGACCCCACTCGTCGAACTTTTCCGCTGGTGGTGATGAATCGACTCGGCTCGTGTCTGACACAGCGCCAGATGCCACAGCTTCGAGGGCGGTGTTCTGAGCGACCGGGTAAGGCATGGCTTGGATGGGATCCGCATGGAAAGCGTCGAGAGCTGACGTTTGGCCCGAAGGATACATGCCCATTCGCTGCATTCCTACTGCATCGTTCATCACGGCGATACTGGCGTTCATATCTGGGGCTGCCACGAACATGGCAGATGACGTCGATGACTCGGCGGGCGAAGGGTATATTGTATGCGATCGCTCCATGCCGCCGTCTGCGTTTGGGGGCGGCGGGCCGAGAGTTAGCAAAAATTCCCTAGCTCGGCGCAGCTCGACAGGCTGCTGCTCGTCGCCTTGCCCGCGGTTCGCCATCGGCGCGGCGGGGGAGTGTCCGGATTTCTTTTGTGATTTTCGTCTCGCGGAGTTTTCGAGATAGTGTAAGATCTCGTACTGGGCATGTCTCTGGGTTCCCGTAGACTTCTGGAGATTTACAATCTCGCTCACTAGCTGCTTGTTCGTCTGGGCCAACTCCTCGACTTGCTTTTGTAGGGCATATAGGGTTTCCGTGAGACTCTGTATTTGCCGCTGGTTGTCGCTCTGATCGCCCGTGGGAGTCTGCGTCGGCTGGCGCTGCTGCTGCTGCGTCTTCTTCGTAGATGGAGCCTTGCGCCGGATCATATCCAAGCTATCCTTGGCATCGATCCTGAATTCGGGATGTTTAAATTCCCACGCCTAGTCACGTCGAGTGTTAGAGTACACAAGACCGCCGCTCCGTGGTTTCAGGGGGTATTTACACTTACGTTTGGGCCGTAACCTTGGCTCCCATCATCAGGGCGTCGGACTTTGTGGAAATCGTACTTGTTAAGTTGACGGACAAAGCTTGCAAAATTACTATGCTTAAAGTGTTTTGGAAGAACGCATGTAGAGAATTTCTCTCCCTGCCGTAATGGTCAGTTTAGGGAGGCCAGGGACAACAACGAGCCACCGTAATAGCCGTAGTTGACGGGGTTTCTGGAGCGGAGAACTATCTTCACGAACCTCGAGAACGACAAAGGAGTCTCCGTCTCGGCCCCATCGAACGATGTCTTCGTACTCGGGCTCCTCCAACATTCTAGAACGGTTTCGACGGCGTTAGTTTAATGCCCTAGTGCAAACATACGGACCGTATTGAGACTACTACACACCGATAGAGCTTGCGAACCTGGGGAGAACGAGGAAATGCGTTAGTAACAACTTCGCGAAGGCGATACGATACCGCCAAAGCGGCAGCCGCAAGAGAGAAGAGAGAGAAGTCGATACTCACAAAGTCGCTTGATGTGTTCCCACTAGCCTGGGCGGGGCTAGGCTTATCGGTCGACATTGTGAAGGTCGGGATGTAAGAATGTAGCGCAATTAGAGTGCGCTGGCAGAAGGGGTACGTGTGGTTTGATCGCGCAATTCAACTTGCGGCTGGAGGGTATTCGGGTATTCTATTGTGCCAACCCTAAGGCCGAGGACTCTAGAGGATGTCGACGTGGGACTTCGAACTCTTCGCAAGGACTCGGCTAGATAGGATGTCGCGTGGTGGCAAATGGAGAGAGAAGCGTTGCGAACCCGATCGTGATTGAAGCGATGTCGGATTATCTCGAGAAAATCTGCCGCACGACGGTGCCGGCTTGGCTCGACTTTGAAAATTTCGTATTATGGACCCGATGGGCCCTCAGGATCGCCTTAATCGTTTTCGCGCGCTGTGCTGGCTTTCGAGACGGGCTCGCGAGGCGACACGGGGAATGAAGCTGTCTCCTCGAAGAACGGCCGTTGGACCGAGTTCGGTTCGGGTTCGGGTCTCGGGCGCGAAAAGCGAATGGCTCTATGTTCGTTGTCGAGAAATGAGGACAGTTAGGCAGAGCGCAGGTGCTAGCAAAGTCGTTCCAAATAGCGGTACTCGATCGTGGTCGGGGTAGGGTCTATTGTCGGTCGGAGAGGGAAGAATTGATTGAGGTATTCAGGATGGTCACAGTCACAGAACCAGGGACGACACACGCCATCGAAGCCAAGTGCGACTTCAGGGTGCTATTGGCAAGGCGTCCGTGCCAGCATTAGAACAAGGAGCACTCGAGAGCTATTTTATTTCGACGAAGGAAACAATCGACGGCACGGGTTCGTGGGATAGGGCAGGTCGAGGACTCGATTCGGTTGTCGGATTGGAGGAGGCAAGTTTGGTGAGGGGAGGGAAAAAAAATTATTTCGCAGCAAAAAGCCAGGCGAGTCAGAAGAACGGATGATAACAATTGGGTCCAGCGTCCAGCCCCCGTCGGTGATGGCACAAGACTTCGAATCCTTCTGCTAGGTTGGATTCGGACAAGAACCGGTCTAGGGAGAAACGGAAGAAGGGAGGAGGGGGGCACCAGATAGCAGGCGAGTCTCTAAGTGTCAAAGTGTAGGCGAGTACAATCGGGCAACGGCGAACAATGTGCTTGAAGCCAAAAGATGTCGAAATCGGATCAAATTGATGCTTTTGGCCGGTCTGGGTGCGGGGGTTTGCGCAGAACTAGCTCCAGGGCCAAGATGGGCCAAGATGGGACCATGCTAGCACCCGAGCAGAGACTTCATTGTTGAGGAGATGGAAGTTGATAGATTGATGGGCTGGCTTGGTCTGGCTTGGTCTGGCTTGGCCTGGCTGGGGGCAGCCCACTGAGCCCATTCTGGTGGCGTCGCTGTATCTTTCGATTTTCGTAAAATAGCGTCGGTACATTAGCCAATGTACCTCTGTACTCCGTACCCGATCCACTTTTCCCCAAGAACCTGAGGAGTCAAATCTACCTTCCGGCTGACGAACCTGATACATCTTCGAGTGTCAGTTGTCATATCGACCCGAATGTACATACTACGACGTCAGGCTGCTGATGTGGAGCTCAAAATTGTAACAATGGACTTGACGATGCTTGAATATCAAAATTGGTTTATTATGGGGTCCCAATTTTGGATCCCATCAGCTGGGAGGCTGCGAAATGCCTCCCGAGTTCCCCCTCACTCAGTCGTGATCAATTGATTGACTGGATTTCCCCCCGTCGTCATGGTACACAATGGAGCACGAAGGAGTGGAGAATCAAGGTGCATCAAGACGGAGCAGTTTATTTCGTAAGTGGTTTCCTCACCTGTCCAGCAGCCAGCAGCAGCCAGCCACGGCCCTGACGTCAGACTTTTGCCTCCCGAGATCAACCGAGGGATGCCGCCTCCAGGACTACCGCCAATGACTCCCTCTCGCGAGCAGCTGTTCAACTCCCCAAATGGACGAGTTAGTCCAATTGCACATATGTACGAAGTACTGTGCAGACACTGGATCGTTAGGCGTCTAAGGCGTCTAACCCTCTGCCTTGCAACCCGATCATTAACAAGAATCTATGATCGGTTAAAGGATCTGGGATAATATAGGACAGTCGGTTGCAAATTACCCCACCTCTCACACCAAGTGCTTCAGCTACGATGTTCCCCTAGCTGGTTCTGCGCCGTCTTGGAGACTTGTCCCATCCCCAAAACGTCCTCCCACCAGTGATGCGGAATGATCGACAACGAAGCAGGTACGGAGTAAGGTTTAGCAAACGTCGAGGTGTCCCCAGTCCCTCGATTGTTTAATTAGAGCTTGACCTCGTGGTTTCAAGAACTCGGGAGTGATCCTTTGCCATCGCCATGTCTATTTTGTAAGTGCCAAATCAGTCACTGTTCCAGCATGCGCCTCGATATAACGATAACTTGCACTTTGATAAACCTAAGTCAATGCATGGGTAGAGGGCTTATATGAGGGCTTTTTTTTTTCTTGGCATGGAGGTTGAAGATCTACTACTTTCTATCCTTGCGGAAGGAAGGTCCTTCGCGTCGTACCCTTGCACTTATACTAGATCATCTATTCGCACTGCTGTCATCGGCTAAAAAAAGCTGGAATCGCAAATCGATGGCAATGTCAATTATCTTGGTCTCATCCGTGATATTGGCCATGCAGAGCTGACACCAAGAGCTCAGTTTCAATAACTGACGGCTAGCGGACATGGAGTGAAATGCGGATCTCTGAGGCGGCATTCAGGTATACCTGGGGGAGAGAATTGGATGCAAATGCCTATTGCTGGCCTGAGCCAAACTTACTCTCTTAGCCCTATGCTCCCAGAACGGCGTTCGTTTCACATGCTGTGCTAAAGATGGTAGTCAAATCGAATCATCATCGATGATGCTAGAGGCTGGGTTTAGCGATTGGGGGATGGGTCTGTGTGTGGCATGCCATTATCCGAGTATAACGCAGCAACTCTGGCATACGCTGAGAATAAAACGTAAAAACATCTTCAAAACGAGATGGCGTTTCTCTGGTGTATCCTCCACAGAGTCCCAGGTCAATAATCTTCCATAAGAGAAATTGTCCGGCTCGTCATGAGCGTAACGTGACAGTTCAGTGAACACGTAGCTATACAGGCACGCGAGCATTCTGCACCATCAACATCACTTTGCCATTTCAAGAACGGAGAACCTGGTCGTTTCCCCGGTCGCACAATTTCGTTCTCCGCCTCCGGCTTTGACGTTGGCGGGTGGCTCCGGAATTGTGGGGGAGGGGCGGATGTTTCTTGATTTCGCAATTTCAGGGTCTCCATTAGTCATCATAGTGGGGTTCGGTACGAAATACATCTGACTGAAAGTCCTTAACGCGTCGTCCGCGACTAGACGCGTCCCTGAGCCTTTACGCAACTGTTTCTTGCTTCGACGCCCTTGACAATCTGTTGATTGAGAGATAAGGTCATTCAAATCGTTCAAACCCCCCATACGAACTCCGGATTAACGAATATCGGAATGTCGACTGAAATTGCGGAAGAAGCTGGGCCAAACGGCCATTCTGCCGACAATGCTCAAGCTGAGGACGACGTGCAAATGAACGATGTCCCGGCGGAGGATCCTGAGAAAGACGAACCAGACGTGAAATTGGAAGACCTTTTCGACGATTCCGACTCTGACGAACTAGTTAGGACTCCTCCGTCGAGCGGGGAGGAGGCGCAGTCGAAGCCATCATTGTATGTTTAGCCCTCTGGTGGCTCCAAGAGAGGAACAGGACTGATTGAAAACCCGGCCCAGGAATGTGATGGGCACGGCGTCCGATCCGGACCTTCTTCGAATCTTCTATCAACGACTATTCCCTTGGCGATACCTCTTCCAATGGCTGAATCATAGCCCCTATCCGACACCCGACTTCATTCACCGTGAATTTGCCTTTACGCTGCAGAATGAAGCCTATCTCCGCTACCAGAGCTATCCCACATCTGACCTGTAAGTTGCTACAATGATGCTGTGCTGTTGCCTCTAGTTCAAGTTACTGAGAACTGTGGTAGCCTGCGCAAGGATGTTGTCAACATAATACCGTCTCGTTTCGAAATCGGACCCGCGTACAGCTTCAACCCCCGCGACCGAAAATCGAACCCCACCGCGTTCAAGCCTGTCTCCAAAGAACTTTGCTTCGACATTGATCTTACAGACTACGATGATGTGAGAACGTGTTGTGACAAGGCCAACATTTGCCAGAAATGCTGGACATTCATCACCATGGCTATCAAAGTGGTAGATGTTGCCCTGCGGAAAGACTTTGGCTTCAAGCACATTATGTGGGTATACTCCGGTCGAAGAGGTGCTCACGCGTGGATCTCTGACCGTGCGGCGAGGAACATGACGGACCAACAGAGGAAAGCGGTAGCTGGGTACCTTGAGGTGGTACGGGGTAGTTCGCAGAACGGAAAGAGGGTGAATTTGCCGAGGCCTTTACATCCTCACCTGAAGTAAGTTGTATATGGCCGTCCCCGCACAGTTTCTTAATCACAATACTTATACCTGAGCTTGCTAGGCGGAGTTTTGACATTCTCGTCGGCCATTTCGCCGACGATATCCTGGAAGTCCAGGATCCGTGGGGGACTGAAGAACAGGCGGAAAAATTGCTCCAACTGCTTCCCGACAAGACATTGAACGACGCGCTACGTAGCAAATGGGAAAAATCGCCGGGCCGCTCTTCGGTTGCTAAATGGGGAGATATCGATACTGTCGCTAGATCCGGAGCAAGTAAGCGTCTCGACGGCCAGGCTCTTCTCAAAGCCAAGCAAGACATCGTCTTCGAATACGCTTATCCTCGCCTGGATATCGAAGTCAGCAAAAAGCTCAATCACTTGCTCAAGAGTCCGTTCGTCGTGCACCCTGGTACCGGTCGTGTCTGCGTGCCCATCAACGTGAAGGCGCTGGAAGACTTTAACCCTCTCACCGTGCCTACCATCCAAGAGCTGCTCAAGGAGATTGATGAATGGAAGGAGGAAGAGGGAGCTGCGTCGCAGGATAGTGGCAAGGGAACTCCAGATTGGGAAAAGACCAGCTTGAGGCCTTATATCGAGTATTTTAGGTCGTTCGTGGGTCATTTGCTTAGGGACGAAATGGGGCAGAAGGTGAAGAGGGAGAGGGATGAGGGAGGCAAAATGGAGTTTTGAGCAACAGCTGTTGCGAAACACATGCTAAACTTGGACGGATGACTTTTTCTTTGTATAATAGAGGGTTTTAATATGGGAATGCAACGGGTGATATGATGGCGTGCAGTAATTGGACACCCGGGGGACCTGAGTATGGAGTTCAACGTCTTTTTATAGTTTATACTGTTGTCCTGTTGTCGACTTACGCCTGTGTTTACTGACCATCCTTGACCAGCTCTTCTTTGGTGGCCGGATTGCTTATTTCTTCCTCTGCATTTCCATCATCGTTAGCATCTTTACCATCATCACCTTCCCCCTCTTCTCCTTCTCCCGGCTCTACGGATTCCACGGCCGAGTTCCCATTTCGTAACCTCGCGTCTTTCCTCTTGGGAATTGCCTTTAGGAATGCAGTTCCCCAATCACCGCATTCCAGCCATCTGAGAATAATCTCGACGACATGATTCGTAGCTAGTACCTGCCGACTATTCATCACCATGTATTCCCCAATCGGAAGCTTAGCTGTTCGTATACCACGCTTCCGCGCTAGTCGGTGACATAATCCCTTCTCGCGGTTCTTGTCGACCAGGCCTCCAATAACATAGGACGTTCCCGGTTCGAGACGCTCGAGAAGATTGTGAGAGTCCGAAGAGAGATAAACAATATTTTCCTCGCTCACCTCCTCGGGCTCGCTATTCGGATCCTCGAGCCGCATGGCTTCTTCTCCCTCCCTCGGCTTGAGAACATCAATCACTTCTCCCCCTCGGGGGCTTCCCATGAGCTCAGTTGCCACCTTGGAAGCCTCCAATATGTCTCCTTCGATGAATTGTATGCCCTTCCAATATTGGTGAGTGGCATTCATACCGAGTTCAAACCTCTGCTTGAGATTTCCGCCCCAGGAGCTAATGAGGAGGTGTGGCCTGTACGGAGCCGCTCGAACCTCGCTGTATGACCTCTGGATTTGACTAGATAGGGAGACGAGTTCTTTGTTCCCCATGTAATCCTCGAAGCTGCAGTCTATGATGATCGAGATGGGAACTGATACGTTCGGAGGCTTGGGTGGAGCAAGGACTGTTTTCGGGTCGAGGCCGGCTGCGCGAGCCTCGGCGGCGGCGGCAGCGTAAGCATCTCGCTTGCGCGCCCGTATTGTTTGTCGCTTCTCCTTGCGACGCCGTTTGCGCTCGTCGCGCTGGGCATCCCAGGCTTGTTGGCGCTTTAGTTTCTTCTGCTGGTTCTTCGAGAGGGGAGCGGCGGTGCTGGTCAACGGGCTCGAAACGTTGGTCTTCGGTGGGTGGTTGGAGGGCTTAGAGGGGGATGTGGTGGGGGATGCCGTGAGAGGAGGGGCAGCTTCGACGGGCTGCGCGCCATTGGATGATTCTGCGGCTGGATTCTCCATGGAAGCTCAGGGTACGGGCGCCTTCGTATCAATTAATTTCGAAGTTTCGAGAAAATAAGTACACATCTTTCAGGGCGACCGGTTGAAATGCTGAGGTTGAGAGGTGATGGAACTGGAAGGAATTGAACTTTTTTTTCCAGTGGAGGCAGTGGCAGAAAAGTGGGCGGTGAGGGCCCTGGACGATTTCTGGGGTTTAGCGTGTCACGGTCGCGTCTCCCCAAGTTAAATGGGCTTCTGCACGCGACTTGGAGGTCCCTTTCAGCTTCCACCGTCCTTCAGCAACCACGACTCTTGTCCTCCTCGCATCATCTTCCCTCCAATTTACTCGGATATTCTCCTGGTTCGATTCGAGTGAGGTTGAGATTCTGGTAAATACTTCAAAATGTCTTCCCGGCCGGAATTAAAGGTAAACTCGGACTGGATTGATCTTCTGCTCTTCCTATCAGCAATTCCCTAACAGATCGAACAGGTCGATGACGAGCACGGCTTTATCCGATTCTTCAAATCTCTCCCTTCAGTCCACGAAGATACGATAAGGATATTCGATCGAGGCGATTGGTATACTGCCCATGGCGACGATGCGAACTTCATTGCGAGAACAGTGAGTATCCCGTTTCCCTCACCTGGATTGGAAGTCGAGGGCTTACAAGGATCTTGCCCGCACTAGGTCTACAAATCCACATCCATAGTACGGCATTTGGGACGAAATGACCACACCGGCCTTCCATCGGTCACGATGACCATCACAGTCTTCCGCCAGTTCCTCCGAGAAGCCCTGTTCAAGCTAGGCAAGCGTGTCGAGATATGGGCGAGCCCCAACGGTCGCATGAACTGGAAGCTCACGAAGCAAGCTTCCCCCGGAAACCTCCAAGATGTCGAAGATGAGATAGGTGGTCAATTCGACTCGGCGCCGATAATATTGGCGGTGAAAATCTCGGCAAAGGCTACCGAGGCGAGGAGCGTTGGTGTCTGCTTTGCAGATGCCACAGTCCGTGAGCTTGGCGTTAGCGAGTTCCTAGACAACGACCTGTACTCCAATTTCGAGTCCCTACTTATTCAACTTGGTGCAAAGGAATGTCTTCTTCAAGTTGATAAGTCGGCCGAGAACAAGGATCCCGAGTTGGCAAAACTTCGACAAATCATTGACCATTGTGGCGTCGCCATTTCTGAGCGTCCGGCATCAGAATTTGGAATCAAGGATATCGACCAAGACTTGGCAAGGCTGCTTAAAGACGAGCGTGCCGCTTCAACTCTACCTCAGACTGATCTCAAGTTGGCAATGGGCTCTGCTGCGGCTCTCATCAAATACCTTGGCGTTCTCCACGACCCATCTAATTTCGGCCAATTCCAGCTTTACCAGCATGATTTGTCACAGTATATGAAGCTCGATGCGGCTGCCCTCAAAGCCCTCAACTTGGTTCCAGGACCTAGGGATGGCGCCAAGACAATGAGCCTCTACGGCTTGCTCAACCACTGCAAGACTACCTCTGGCAGCAGACTGCTGTCGCAGTGGCTCAAACAACCCCTCATGAGCAAGGACGAGATCGAGAGGCGACAGCAGCTAGTGGAGGCACTTGCTACCGATACCGAATTGCGGCAGACTATGCAAGAGGAGCATTTGCGGGCTGTTCCGGACCTATACCGCCTTTCCAAGCGATTCCAAAGAGGCAAGGCCAATCTCGAGGATGTCGTTCGTGCTTACCAAGTCGTCATCCGACTTCCCGGCTTCCTAGGAACGTTCGAAGGAGTTATGGATGAGGTTTACAAAACCCCTCTCGATGATGCTTACACTACGCCTCTAAGAGACCTTTGCAACAGTCTGGGAAAGCTCCAGGATCTGGTTGAAACTACTGTGGATCTTGACGCACTTGATAGGCACGAGTTCCTCATCAAGCCCGAGTTCGACGACAGCCTCAAGATCCTTCGGAGCAAGCTTGACAAGCTTGACCGTGCGATGCAAAAAGAATTCGAAGACGCTGCCGATGACCTTGGCCAAGAGCCTAGGAAGAAGATCTTCCTCGAGAACCACAAGGTCCACGGCTGGTGCATGAGGCTAACGCGACAGGAAGCTGGATGCATCAGGAACAATTCAGCCTATCAGGAATGCTCAACGCAGAAGAACGGTGTGTACTTCACCACGAAGAACCTCCAGAGCCTTCGACGGCAGTTTGACCAGATTTCACAAAACTACAACCGCACTCAGAGCACCCTTGTCAATGAGGTTGTCAATTGTGCAGCATCGTACTGCCCCGTCCTGGAGAGACTTGCTGCTATTTTGGCCCATTTGGACGTCATCGTATCCTTTGCTCACGTGTCCGTCCATGCTCCTACTGCCTACGTTCGACCCAAGATCCACCCCCGAGGCGAGGGCCAGACGATTCTTCGGGAGGCCAGACACCCTTGTATGGAGATGCAAGACGATGTGCAATTCATCACCAACGACGTGGAGCTTACTCGCGACAAATCGGCCTTCCTCATCATTACCGGCCCCAACATGGGCGGTAAATCTACCTACATCCGACAAATTGGCGTGATTGCGCTCATGGCCCAGATCGGCTGTTTCGTCCCCTGCGAATCCGCCGAACTCACCATCTTCGACTCCATCCTAGCACGTGTCGGTGCCAGCGACTCGCAGCTGAAGGGCGTATCCACCTTCATGGCCGAGATGTTGGAAACGGCCAACATTCTCAAATCTGCCACTGCTGAGTCTCTCATCATCATCGACGAACTCGGCCGCGGTACGTCTACGTACGACGGATTTGGCCTCGCCTGGGCCATCTCCGAGCACATCATCAAGGAGATCGGCTGCTTCGCCATGTTCGCCACGCACTTCCACGAGCTGACGGCGCTGGCCGACAACTACCCCCAGGTCCGTAATCTGCATGTAACCGCCCACGTCAGCGGAATCGGCAAGGAAGGGACCGGGGAGAAACGTGAGGTGACGCTGTTGTACAAAGTTGAGCCCGGCGTTTGCGACCAGAGCTTTGGTATCCATGTTGCCGAGCTGGTTCGTTTCCCGGACAAGGTCGTGCGGATGGCGAAGCGCAAGGCGGACGAGCTTGAGGATTTCACGACTAAACACGAAGAGGTGGGCGTCAAGTATAGCAACGAGGATGTTGCCAGCGGTAGCGCGATGCTGAAGGACATCCTGATCAAGTGGAAGGATGAGGTCAAGGATGGACAGATGACGCAGGAGGAAATGGTTGCCAAGATGAAGGAGCTCGTGTTGGCGGATGAAAAGCTGTTGGCCAACCCATTCTTCCAGTCTGTCAGGGCGTTGTGAGGCTTGAATCGAGGCGTTTTTCTTTTTCTCTCTTGAGGACGATGGAACTGGCTTCACTTAATTATGGATCCCTCTCGGGCGTTGGGGTAATTGGGGTTTCAAGGGAAAATAACATGGAAGATATTTGTTTATAATCAGTACAACTACGAATAGGACTATAACGAGCTTGAGGTATTTTGGTACAAGTCAGGCGTGAGGCCGAGGGAACCTGCCAAATCTTAGTTAGCGTATCGTGTCGAGATGTGAAATAATTCCAGAGGTAGATGAATAGTGGAACGGTGAGTGTATCAGGAAAACAACGTAGAAAGGTATGTTTAAACATAATTGCAAAGTGCAATTTCATAAACAGCCTCTGAAAGCTAAGATCTCATCATGCACTCGGGTGAAGGAATCAAGGCCCAGGGCCAAGGGCTAGAAGGAATGAAAATGGGTAGTGAACATACCTCGGAGAAATCGGCCCCGGCGTGCTCATATGCACCATGGGGTGGCAGTTTGGGCCTTGGAGAACAAGAAAATTCGAATTGTCTAGAAAATAGGCGTAATGATCCCTTACACCGCCCGGGTACCGTGATATTTACAAAGTGTGATGATTGATGGAGAAAAGTGGTTCGCGTTTTAATCAACTGTCGCTTTGACGGGATTGACCTCGAAGCCGTACTTCTCCTTGATCCTCTCTCGCCGCCTCTCTTCATACCCAGGAGGGCAGATACCTGCAAGAGTGTTAGCTTATCCAGTCTTCTATCTGGTCGACCGTACGAGTAGTGGCGTAGGAACCTACCCCTGCCCTCGCCGACGTCCCTAATCGTCTCCTCGATTGGACGCCGCCTGTTTTCTCGCAATCTCGTCTTCCTCTCAAACTCGTCCTCCTCTGACCGGTTGAAGTATCCGTCGAAGCGTCCGCCGGTGTACTCGAAGACGCCGAGGACGGTAGCTAGACCAGCAGCGCATCCGACGACGAGGGGCATCCGCTTGCCTGAAAAAGAGACCCAAAACTGGTGAGAAAAGGAAACGATCGAGCCATTATATGAGGACTACATACCAGAGAGGCCGGCAATGGCACCTCCGACGGCGCCGCCCAGCGCCGCGTTCCAGTGATCCTCCTTTTCGCGAAGATTCGCTGCGGCGGTTATTGTGAAGCCCAAGGCACCGATGGCGATGGCTAAATTGCGCAGGTCAGTAGGCCCAATGAGGGAGAATGAATGTCTGGCATAGCCGTGGATGCACTGATGGAGCCTTACAAGTGAAACCAATCAGATGTCCTGTCCGGGTGAAGACGGTCATCATTCCCAGGTTTCGTCGGGAGAGGGAATTCTGGATCGCGGAGAGGAAGAGGCCGCTGCCAGCTCCAATGGCACCGCACCTTACTCCCTCTTTTACCGCATCCTTCGGCTCGTAGTGTTCCTGCGTGGCGGAGTGAGACGCCATGGTGGACGAGGGGGTGGAGGTGATTGGGGGGATGGGTCGACAGGAAGATCAATTGTAATTTGAGGTCGAAGAAGCTTTGAATCATGGACATTCGGATTGGATGTTGTTCCATTGGCTTGGTCTGTGCGCGGCAATGTCGATAGCCTTAGCACGTGATATGGCACGTGGTAGTTTCCAGCTCCCGGCGCCCAGTTTTTGGCGGCACCGTTTTTGCAGCCTGTCCGGTGGCTCATGGCTTAGCTTGCGACGTCATGCAGCGGCACTGGCTCATCGCCTCAGGCTGCCCATTACGAAGTAGCTTATTCAACACCCAAATCCAATCCCAAGGCAGCTCAAGTGCTCTGTTGCCAGAGACGGTCCGGAGACAACCCGACATTGCGTGGACAACTGACAAGGCTACGTCAGCAGGGACCATCGTCTTCCATTGTCCCTGCCCTTACGTTTTCTCTTGGCTAGCCTTCTCTTTCTGTGGCTGTGGGATAGTGATCGATTGGCTCCTCTCACCTTACCAGCCTGTTGCAGCTACCCCCTCCATCGCCACCTTTGTTCTAGCTTCTTCTTCACCCCACCACCTGGCTTATCAAGACGATCGACTCCTCCCTCTCGCGAAGACGGACCCAGCAATAGCTTCGTACCTATTGAGAAGCTTACCCTAGAATCACCCTGGCTAGCGGATTCCTCTTTCCTGGTCTCTAAAGCTGGTCTGAGCTTCGCGGCCTGCTTTCAATCTTGCCCTGATCACTGATCTCCGCTTCATCACCTCACTGCCCAACCCAGCGATTCTCTTGATCTGTTCCTCTGTCAGGACCAATAGCTCTGCATTGAGGGACGATTTTATTCAACCTCCCGGACCTTGTACTTGGAGACCCCTTCCTCGACCTACCCCTTAAACGAACGAACGAACCTTGGCGTTGTTTCTAGATCTCTGGTTCCCGAACATCCTGGTATTGAACGGTAGGTTTATATAAGCATGAACTTTCAAGTGCCTTTTTACCCGGTCCATAGCTGACCATAACTATTTTGAAGGCTAGAAGACTCGAATTTCGATCACGTTGCCCCGCCTCCACGAGGCCCGCCCCCCGCCATACGGACGAGGACCCGACAAAACGAATCGTGAAACGGACATCTCAACTGGTTCATGAGTCGCGTTTGCATGGTCCAGCAGCAGCACGACGCTCGCTACGGCGGCAGGGCATTGGTCAAAACTGCCACAACCGCCATGGCGTCGAAATCCGCAGCCAAACGCCATGGCGCCAAGGGCTTCCACCCAGACGACGTTGTCGAGACGAGATCGGGCTTCGATACCCCTGCAGGCTTCTTTCCCCGACCATATGGTATGTCGTTTGCTTTTCTGAGTTTACTGTGGCTTCTTCGAGACGCTGATGTTTCCTACCCCTCCGTGGTTTAGTTCGATCGGCGCCTCTCTTCATCTACGACCTATTTGACCACAATTTATGGGAATGGAAGGAATTCATGGCCCTTGATGTCGACAATACGTCTTTCGCGAAAGAGTTTTCTCCCTCCGCCGTGGAAGGACTCATGCAGTCACGGGTTATGCCCTCCCTCCCCCCACCAAAACACATGATGATACTGCTTCCTTCCCAATCACGAATCCATCCTGACGGAACAAGGACCGTTTCGGCGATCTGTTTTCACTGCTTATACCATTTCACTTTGCGCATCCATACAAACACGGGGCATGACGTTTGCCGGGCCAGCCGATCAGATGGGCCCACCACCGATGGTATTAAAGGACCACATCAGCTCTATCTCCTTTCTCCTTCCTATAAAGGTTCCGTTGGTCCCGACGAGCCCAAGTACAATCCCGTTCTGGTGCGGGGGGTGTATGCTTGTACTGCCAAGGAATGCGGCTTGCAGGTTGTCGTGGAGGTCTCCGCACCCCGATTAGACGCCAAGTGGATCGACCTTCTTACGAACCAGGCCAGGATTAAGAAGCGGTTGGAGAAACTTAAGGCCGCGGACCCCGAGCGCTTTGATGTTGGCACCGATGAATGGCACAAGTTTGGCCTCCGTCAGCTAGTGACCTATATAAAACATCTCCTTGATGCCGCCGACTTCGGAAAGGAGCCAAGGAGCCTTTCGAAGAGAAATAAGCGATTTGATTCCGTGATGGGCCCCGAATTTTACGAATTATTTCGCTTCCTTGAATATGAGGAGTTTTCCACCGGCGAAGGTGATGAGGAGGAGCACTTCTTCTTACAAAATCCCCCCGACGCCTGCAAGGATTTCACGGAGCCCGGAAGTCGGCGTGCGTTCTTCGAGGATGTGGCCCTCGAGTCGAGGATCCATGGGGAGCGCGAAATCTTCCGTTCTCCTTCGGCCCCGATAGACATCGAGGAACTTGCACGGTCGCTCGCCACGAGGGAATTTCATTCAGCTCTCGACTGCTTTTCTTACCCGAGCCAATCGACCAACGGCGGCCTAACGTACCACTTCCGATTTTTGGGCATTATGCCCGATTTCAGTCGCATTCTAGTTGAGAACGCTTGCTCCAGACTCTCTACCTTCCTACCGGAACTTAAGGCCACCTTCGAGGACTCCCTGTACAGTATCGCTCGTGACACCTCTGGGCCGCTTGGATCCAGCTCTGAGTTTTTACGTCGGGCTAAGCTTATCGTTGGCCAAGATGCCGACGATATGTTCAACGAGACATGGGGCCTTCAGCCGGGAGGCATTCGCCGTACCGACGATGAGATCATTGCGGCTGTGCGTAGGAAGCTCCATGACTCCCCAGACTCCGTTGATATCGTATTCGATATGTTGCCTGTCTACGCTAAGTCCAGGGGCAGCATGCGACTGCGCCGTCTAGTGGACTGGCTACCTTCCCAACTACCTATGCCTGTCGACCTGGCGTTTGACGTTCTTGGTGCTCGTTCCGACGAGAGTACTAAGCAATTGATTTTGAATGCAGAGACTAGGGTACGCACTTTTCTTCCGGTGAAGCTTAATATTCGCGAGCTACCCGTCTAACATTTTGTTTTAGGTCAAGGTTGCAAAGGCGAGTATCGTCGCCAATGCCCTGAGGTCGATAGCTCGACATCGTGAATGTCCTGCACTGTCAAGGCAGGCAGAAATCACGGAAGAGGGCCCCATAACCAACCCGGTTGGTCTCGAGAACATCGGAAATACCTGCTACCTTAACAGCATCATCCAATACTTGTACACCGTGCTGCCAATCCGGAAATTAGTGGACGAGTATGACGAAAACAGGCTGGAACCAGAAGATATGGACAAGAGGCGCATCGGAGGAAGTAAAGCCAGGGTTCATCCCGTTGACCTGGTTATTGGCCAGTATTGTAAGTGGACCTTCAGAGACTACTAACCCGGCACAAACTAGCACTCCTCTAATTTCCTGTAACAGTCACTGGTGAGGCCCTTCAAACTCTCTTCACCCAAATGACGACTGTCTTCCGCGGACCTTGCGCACCGAGTCAAGGGCTCGCCAACGCTGTTTTGCTCTCCAGTGAGCAGTTGCTTCGCCTTTCCAAATCCGATGCGATCCCTCAGGTCCACGCGGGCAAGCTTCCGGTTCCCTCGATCAATGTTCGAAGCACGCCACCACCGCTCCCTGCCCGCCCGACCCCTCCAGTGCCCCTGAAGCAACCGGAGAACGATACGAATGCAGGCGGCCCGTCTTTGATTGATCTCACCGAACCGAGCCGTTCGAGTTCTCCCACACTTATGGGCGATGCTGCGTCCGATAGGTCGTTCGGCCAGACAAATGCAGAAGCAGACGCCATGGAGATCTCTGGCAGTGCTAGCGACAGTGATGTGGTCATAGTACCAGCAACGAGCAAGGATACAGCTACCCAAGTCAAGGACGATGTCGAGATGACTGATGGAGAAACCATAGTTGCTGATGAGGATGGCGAAAAGGGTAGTAGCGGTGTCACGGCCGCTGATGAGGATACCCCGACTAGCAATACCGAGGGTCTTCTCCGAACTCTTAAGATTAAGCATGAGCTTACAATGATCCAACAAGACGTTGATGAAATCATGGGCCGTGTGCTGGGTCTTCTGCAAGCATCGATACAGCCGACATCGATAGAAGGTGACATCCAGATTGAGGTGGTCATGCAGACTTTCTTTTTCAAAGTGATAATGCACACGGTCAACCTCCAGAACGGCGACCCAACAAGTCGCCAAGATACCCGAACAGCCGAGTTTTTCAGGAACCTCACAGCCTACCCCGCGCCGGACGGCCCATGTACTCTCTACCAGGCCCTTGACAACAATTTCGATCGGGAGGAAATCGAGGGCACCACGACCTCGCGGTATTCGTCCATCGAATCTCTCCCACCTATCCTCCACGTCCTCGTGCAGAGGACGAAGGGGGATGGCACCAAGAACCCTAACCCAGTGGTCATTGACGAATACCTCCAACTTGATCGATACATGGACGCTCCCGCCGGCTCTGACCTGATGTATTTGCGGGAAACCAGTTGGGCTTTGAAGAAGCAGAAACTGGGATTGATTGAGCTTGAGGACCAGCTGTCCATGATTGCCAATATCCCTCAGCCCATTTCCAGAGACGGAGCGTTTGGGGCAGACACGGCGATGTGGGTCGAGGACCAAAGATCTGCCATTGAGAGCGCCGATTCAGCATTTCAACAATACGCCGAAGCCACTCTTGCTGTGGATTTTAGTGAGGACTCTGCTGATCAGCGTGGAATGGAATTATTGAGTTTCTTAGGGTCCGGGGATGTCAACGTCAAGCAGACACAGCCACAAGCAGAGACACAGACGGAGACCGGGACAGGGGCAGGGACACCGACACCCCAGTCTTCTGACCCTCGCGATTATCTCGGCGAAACCAGAGACAAGCTGCAGCAGGAACTTAGCTTAGTGCATGCGAAGCAGGAAGGCTTATTCGAGGGGATGAATAATTACAACTATTCCCTCCACGCCGTTGTCTGCCATAGCGGGAGTGGACGAGGTGGTCACTACTGGGTTTGGATCCGCGACTTCGAGGCTAAGCTTTGGAGGAAGTACAACGATACCGTCGTGTCCGAGGAGAAGGACACACGGAAGTTGCTCGACACCCTGAACAGCAGCGGCGACCCTTATTTCCTGTGTTATGTCCGGGATGTGGACAAGGAATTGTATGTGAGCGTACCTAAGCGAAAGCCAGATGGGTTTGACTGAAGTCGGATACGGAGTTGTAAGGTGCATACTTGGAGAGGGGATACCAATGGCAATATTCTGCTGATGAGCTCATGAATAAAAAGGGATAGACTAGGGGAGCGTCTGGTAGGGGCTGATGGGGCTCCACACATCTTTTTTTTTGTGATGATGATACCCGAGGCACAGTGGTAACTACCAGCTTATAGTTGCTATTAGCGTTCTTCCTTGCTATGGAGGGAGCGTTTTCTCAGGGGGGTGGAATAAATAGAAGCCTCTAGAAGCCTCAAGTTAGATCGCAGATCCTGCGGCCGTAAATTCTCCTCAGTGAATAGAGCCTCTATGTCACTTGCAGTCCTCCTAGTCAGTAGTATCTGGCAGATATGGGGAAGGACCACTGGACATTGAGACTGCACCGTCATTGGATTCATGTAAAGTCCATTTATCGACTTCACAACGGCTGACGCTCAGTTTTGGGTCTACCTTGGCATATTAGGTCGGCCAGCGCTTTCCCTCCATGGACAGATCGGTTACAATCAGCACATTAATATTATTCATAAAATCATATCTATTTCAAGTACTGGAGCACAAAAGTAACAGTTATTATGATGTTCCTTCTGGAACGGACAGAAATGAATGCCCCGATTTCTTGCGGATTTCTCGATTTGATTTTAACTGCTGAGTCAGCAGTATTCTAAATTCAACCTCATCCATCCCGACATCTTCACGACTTCAACATCATTCTGGAGAATTGACGCCGAGATACAACTTACGCATCCCGATGACTGACTATTACTGCTCACTTCTTCGATCCATCCACCAGTATAACGTGCCATGTGTTTGTATCTTGTTGGGTCCTTGGTATCGGCCGACTTTTGACTAACATCTACCGCATGGGAATGGGGGATTTGAGAAGATGGAAAGGAGATCATGGGAGCACGGTTGGGGGTGGGAAAGTGTTAAGGCTCCAGCTAGAGAGAGCGAAGCGGTGACCTAGGAGTTGGTTTCGGCCGTTGAGTTCATGAATGGAACATGAAATGTGGAAGAGCTGTTGAGCCAGGTCAACTGTGGGAGGCGATGAGGATAACTTCGAGGCCATCGATCTACGCTGTGTAAGTGGCTGGGACATCTGTAAGTTCCTTCCAAGCGAGAGTGAGACTTCCTCCTGCAATGAAATGCTTCCAACCCGCCTTGATCATCGCTGCTCTCGAGCTCGAGTCAGTATTCTTTGATACAGACCTTCCATACACAGCAATAAGCCCTGGTGTTTTCTGCACTTATTTCATGCCCCAGGTGGTTTTACTCCAGTTTGCTTTAGCTGTCGTTGATAAATCAGCACCAGCCCCCTGAATCACCAGTTCATCGATGCAGCATCAGTTACATTTTCCGCCTCACATACCCCCTTCGTTCCTTCCAAGTTGGAGGGCATGCATCTGTGATTTACTCCACTGGCCGCTCCTGCTCAGTTTGGCTGTGAAATGATTCACAGCAAATTCTGCATTTCAATTTTCTTCCTCCAGATCCTGAGTGATTTCCCTAGCCCTACCGTGACTATAAATCCTTCACCATCTTCCCACGAACCCATTCCTCTTTTCTTTCAACCATCTCCATCTCACAATTGGAACCCTCACCGCGAACCCCTTTGTCCATCATACCCTTTCTGTAATACAATCTGTTGCTGCAAGACCGCCCAAGATGGCTTCCAAGCTATCGAAGGGCCTGATGGCATTGATTTTCATGCTGTTTTTTCTATTCGTACAACCTGGTCATGCCTCGAATGACCTCGATCTGAATGGTAAGGACATTTCATCCACTCGTTGAAAGAAGGCCCTATTGTCAATATACTGATACATTGATATTTAGATGCCAATTATCCATGGGCAACCGATTGCCTTGGGAGTCCGACAACGACTATGGTGGTGTGGACTGTTTTCGAGCATGTGACTCTCTCCGATGGAGTTGATACGCGTCTCCCGAAGGCGACCGAGGGACAGTTGAGAGTTGAGACTCCCCGGATTACTACGGGAACTTGTTTCGCGTATTGGCAATCCGTCGATGGTCAGACTCCTCAACCAACCCCTACCCCTACGGACAAGCCCATGATCACCCGCTACTTGACTACCACAACGACAGAGACAGACACTGTCACTGAGGTAGTGGGTGGAGAGATGACCACCTCTACGGACAAGCCCATGATCACCCACTACTTAACTCGCACAGTCACCGAGACGGAGTGCGCCACCGATTATGTCACTGAAGAGGCGACCGTCACCCCGGGCCCACCGTACAGCGAAGTCGTTTGGGTTCCCACGATGTTCACATCTACTCGGTTTCACACCCTCCCATACAACTCGGGGGCGAGTACGGTGGTTGTTGAGGTCATTATCATTTATTCCTCAGGGATGTATGCTTTGACTGTGATCACCCCGGGATTCCCCACTGCCTCAGAGCCCTTGATCACTCCTTCGTCGAGCAATCCTTTGGCGGAACCCAGTACCTCGACAGTTACACGTACTTCAACTTCAACTGTCTGGAACACTCCTCAGGAAGAACCCTCTGGTGCTTTTGTGCCCGGTACCTCAACGGTGACACGTACTTCAACTTCAACACTTTGGTATACTCCTCAGGAGGAACCCTCTAGTGTTTTTGTACCTGGTACCTCGACGGCTACATTTACTTCGACCGTTTGGATTACTCCCGAAGAAGGACCCTCTGGTGTTATCGTGCCTGGTACCTCGACAGTTACATATACGTCAACTTCAACACTATGGTATACTCCTCAGGAAGAACACTCTGGTGTTATTGTGCCTGGTACCAGTACATCGACGGCTACACTTACTTCGACCATCTGGATTACTCCTCAAGAAGAACCGTCTGGTGTTATTGTTCCCGGTGCCAGCACCTCGACGGCTACACTTACATCAACCGTCTGGATTACTCCTCAGGAAGAACCATCTAGTGCCATTGTGCCTGGTACTTCGACGGTTACACTTACTTCAACACTTTGGTACACTTCCCAAGAAGAACCCTCCGGTGGTGCTATTGTTCCTGGCACTTCAACGGTGACATTTACTTCCACTTCAACAGTTTGGTATACTCCTCAGGAAGAGCCCTCTGGTGTTATTGTGCCTGGCACCAGCACCTCGACGGCTACGCTTACTTCAACCCTCTGGATTACTCCTCAGGAAGAACCCTCTAGTGTCAATGTGCCTGGTACTTCGACGGTCACATTTACTTCAACAATCTGGTACACTTCTCAAGAAGAACTCTCTGGTGGTGTTATAGTGCCCAGTACCAGTACCTCGACGGCTACACTCACCTCAACCGTCTGGACTACTCCTCAAGAAGAACCCTACAGCGGTGGTATCGTTCCTGGTACCTTAACAGTTACACTTACTTCAACCGCCCGTGCAACCTCTCAGGACGAATCCTATGGTGGTGGTATTGTGACTGTTCCTGGTACCTCGACAATTCTTCCGATCACTGCCTCATCGGTCTCGTCCGCTTCCCAAGATGAGTCTGACGGTGGTTTTGTGCCTGGTGGTCCTGCTCAAACGACCTCGAGTACCTTGGCGGTGCCAACTCCAGTGGGTTCGGGCGCCATATCAGTTTCTTCACTGGCCCCATCAAACATCCTATCAGTTCCGACACTTATGTCATCGTCTTTAGCTGCAGTGAGCTCGATTGATACATTGGTGTCTACTCCAATCACACCAACTATCTCGTCAATCCCAACGCCAGGTTCTTCGGTGGTCTCGTCAGTCTCTACGGCAGCTAGCTCGGACGTCGTACCAGTCCCGGTTCCGGTTCCCCCGATCGAGTCATCGGGTCCTGTCTCGATCTCCCCAGTTGTGTCACCGACCCCGACCTCGCTGGTCGAGTCTTCGGCGCCGTCGGTTTCGATTCCGGTTTCCCCTGTAATCTCATCAGTTCCTACTACAGGTGTTCCGGCCGTTTCGCCGGTCCGAACTACGGTTGGCCCCATCATCTCGTCTGACACAACTCGAGTTTCCCCGACCACCCTGACAGCTGGGGGCCCGATCAGTATCTCCTCAGTTCCGGCCCCGGTTCCGGCTTCATCTAGCCCAGCAGTCTCATCAGGCGAAACCTCGCTGTCTCTGATCATCCCGACAGCTGAGAGCTCAGTTCCGCCGATTCTCTCGACGGCTGAGGGTTCAGTCTCTCCGATCATCTCAACGGCTGAGAGTTCGGTGGGCCCGATTGTTTCGCAGAGTACAACCCCAGTTCCCGTACCAGTTTCCTCCAACAATCCGAGCACCCAACCCGATGTTACTTCGATCATGCCGACAAATAGGGATCAAACTGCTGGTCAAAGCTCTGTTGCAGCATCGTCTCCTGGAACTCCCGCTGGCTCGCCCAGTTCTCCCGTCGCAACTCCTTCGACACCAGGGGCTACCCCCACCTCGGGATCTCCTGTATCGACCCAAAATACCCAGCGTACGTCATCGGCTCGGGCTTCGAGTGCTCCCATGGCCTCTTCTCACCCTGTCGAGAACTCGGCCGCCCCAAGCACGAATGGCCCTATTCAGGCTAGCTCTAACGCCGAGGTCACAACCTCAACCCAGTCGCCGAACCCGGCCAACTCTAAACCCATCGACCAATCTCAGGGAGCAAGCCAGACATCCAGTCCGGCCATCTCTAAGCCAGCCGGCCAATCCAATGGGGCGAGCCAGACACCCAGTCCGGCCATTTCCAAACCCATCAGCCAGACACCCACCAAAACCACCACTCAAGGTCAGGCTGCAAGCACTACGGCAAAGGACCAACCGCCTCAGAGCCAAACACCCCAAGAAGATCATGACGACGACGATGACGATGACGACGACGTCGAGTGGATCAAGAAACAAAAGCACCACAACAACAGAGGCCTGCCCTTTAAAAATCCTTGCAACACTTGGGCATATAAATTTTTAAGGCCCAAAGCCCTTAAGTGGCTGTGTGACCCAAGTTTGCCCATTCCAATTATTTTCCCCTTCCCTCCCTTTCCCCGTCCGCCTGCCCCCCCAACTCCTCCTCCCGGCAATGGCCCACCCCCGCCGCCACCCCCGCCGCCACCTCCACCTCCACCACCGCCATCGCCGTCTCCGCCGATCCCCGAACCGACCGTTAACCCGACAGCAAGCGCTGGCCCAACAGGAACCGATGAGGAACCTCCCGCATGCACAGAACCTTTCGTTTTTGACGGTAGCTGCGTACAGGAATGCACTTCCTTCTCCTATAGCCACACGAATGGCCCGACCAGCTGGACCGAATGTGGTGATGAGAACTGCAGCGCCACAACGGCATGTGAGAGCTTCCTGCCTCCAACGGAAACTATCTGGAAGACGCGTTCTTGCACGAAGACGTACACGGAGACGGCGTTTTGCGAGCAGTTATGCACCAAGGTCATCAAACCTGAGACCATGATTAGCGGCTACACGACGCGAACCGACTGCCCAGAAACGGCCACTTGTACTCCAACTCTTGTTTGCGACACGCTTACAACAACCACTACGACGTCATACACCACACGCACGGAAGAGCCGACGCCGGGGTGCATGGGACGGCAGGATGCAATTGATAGCCACGCCGAGTTCCTGCTTGCCTTTGCGGCTCTTGACGCAATGGGAGATCCGACAGGTCAGACTCCTCTGGATAAGGGCAATGGCACGGTTTCTGGGGGTAACGGTAACGGTACGGCTACGGGAGATACCGGCAGCCCTGAAAGCAGTGGCGATGCCAATAGCGACGGCGGCATGGGTAGCGAACCGCCTAGCCCCGACGATGGCCAACCTGAAGACGGCCAAAGCGGTGGTTCGGCCAAGGAGAAGCCCAAACCTAAGAACTACTTGGCATACAAGGAGACGCTCACCTCTCCGAAGACCTGGCCCAATGGTGCGGGGGACTGGTGGGAGATGGTCCAAGAAATCTTGTTTCTGAATAGCGCCGGCAGTCCTCTCCTGGTGGCTGCCCTGTACTGGAAGGATAAGTACGCTCCGAGCCATGCCTTGTTTTCACCGTTCGCCGAGGTCCCAGTAGCTACCGGTGTCAACAATCTTCTTGGGTGTGTATCCGTCATTATTGCGACGGATAATGGTGTGTACCATGCCTACTTCTGGGAGAAGCCGACTTTTGCGAATCCCGAAATTATCCAAGACCCCGAGACCCCATCCTCTTACGATGCAAACAAGGCATACGAAGATCGGGTGACCAAGTTCTTGAAAGAAGGAAATTGGTATGGTGCGATGATTGATGATCAAGGCCGGATGGAGCGCAACGAGACCAGCAAGGCCAGTCCTTCTCTTGTGGATCTCGCGAGTGGAAATGGACCCTTGGCCAAGGGCATGTATACCTGGATGGATTTCCGAATCATCATGCCTGCGCCATCTGCGGATCCGACCACGCTGGTCTACCCCAACACGATGAAGAGGTTGCAAGGGGACATCGCCCAGATCCTGGGTGTCAAAACCTCCTCTGATCAGATCATGTCGTACCCTAATGTTATTCCAGAAGACTGGAAAGCCCTTTCTCAAACGGCAGAATGGGGGAAGGACAAGGAGCAATACTGGGTGGACAACGCGGGCAAAAAGGGCGTGTTCATTCAATACGCTCCCAGCGTTTCGGTGGATGCCGCCAAGGGAAGCAGACCATATCGGCACATGCGGATTTGGTTCGACAAGAACGTTATCTTCGAGAAGAAATGGTGCCGCGTACCCCCTCGCAAGCAGCTACAATTGCCAGAGGCTCCTTGGAAGCCGGTGGATACCCCGATCCCCCCGGATGATGAGAATGTACCGACGACCATGCAACTTCTCTTCCGCAGAGATGATGACCCAGAGCCGATGGTTTGTGCCGCCGAGCCTCCCACAAAGATTTGCACCGTCGATGTGGGACAAACGATCGTTCCCATCATGAACCCCGAGATAAAGGGCACGATGGACGTCACCGATGAGGAAGGTAGGCGTGCGCACATTCAAGATTACAGCGGCATCCACTTTGGCCAGTTCATCACGTCTCCACCCGAAGACAATAAGCTGGGTTTCAACGTCACAGTGTTATTCACAGGAGACTGGGACAAGTACGTTTTTGATTCCGGATACGCTTGCCAGTGTGATGGTCAAAACTGTGATCTCTTCTCGCCCCAGTGCTGCCTCAAGGGCGGCTGCGAGCCGTGCGACTGTACGGCGGCCGGCATGTGCAGCGCGGAATCGCCGTCGTGCTGCCGGGTGGGCAATTGCAAGATGATGGACGAACGGGGTCCCAAGGACTACCCTTTCAAGCAGTGGGATGTCAATGTTATCATCGAGGGGCAGAAGGGCGTGGACACGACTGAGGCGTTCCCCGCGAACGATGTCAACTGCACGTCGTCGGAGTGGAATTATTTGGGTGATGCCTCTTCGAAGTGGTGCACTCCGGTAAGTCTTTTGTTTTCTTTTCTTCTCAGTTGTTCCTCTTCTTTTCGTTTTGGAGTGGAGTTCTTGAGTGGTGGAATTCTTGAGTGATTGCTAACGAGATGTGTTTCTTGATAGTATCGCCAATTTACCTGCACTTGGGATTGCAACCACTACTACTGAACTCCACGAGCGAGCAGCTAGTCGAATATACGAACGACGACCTATGAAAACGGAAACAGATAGCGGAACCCATTCGAGCGATCTCGCCACCAGAAAATGCAGACTGCAAGGCATATTGGGCTGTCCCATCATATCAGATTGTTTCAACTGGCCGTTGATTTTGCCAAGAGAGAGATAGAGAACGTGTCTCAAACGGCTGTCCAGTCCATCCAACCTTGTCCCAGACTGCATTTTCTTAGTCTCTTTTTGTTTTCAGTCGGTTAGGCCGGTGGTTTGGTACTTCCCTCAAGTTTTTTTTTTTTATTGTTTTACAGGGGATCCATCCCACTATCTTTTCCTTGTAACCTTCATCGTCGCCTTGAATACTGTGATATTGCCGTGCTGTTTGTAAGAGAATGGTCGAGAGAGACACTGATGGAACGAGCCAGAAGGCCACAGACGTCAAGCATAGGTGGATGAGTTAATTTTCGTGCATGTTCCCGGATCCAGAGCGGTTCATAGCTTTCGTACACTGAGACGAGATCCTCTACTTTTATTCTCTCTATTTTCCTTCAACTTCATCTGTTCTCCCAATAAATGACTTCAATTATTCCATCTATCGATCCCATTGTTTTTTGCCCTTCGTTAAAGGTCAGATTACTATCGACATTGCTGCTTGCGAATCCCTGGTGCTTTTGCTGCCATTTCTTTGGCACTCGACAATCGAGGTCAGAATAGCCTTGCAGCTGGACCTGGTGCAACGGTTTTGTGGGGGCGGTATTGTTCCCCCTTTTCACCGATCCTGGCCCCCGAAAGCGACGCAGTTCTTCAATGCAGCTGTCCTTACCTGTCGCTTAATGCCACTTTGGCTCGTGGGTGTTCCCCAGAGCCTCAGGATCGATGAGCCGCTGCTTGAACAAGTGCATGATTGATCGCCACCACCGGCACTCCGACGACCAACAAGCGAACCTCTGCTCGCCCAGCCTCGCCGGTATTCGCTCAGTTGGCAGGTCAAGTCCAACTCGGTAATGAAGATGCTTTTGATCTCCGAGTGCACTGCTCATCTGCTCTGGCCGACGCTCAATGGGGGGCAGAACGACCGCGTGCTCCGCGTTGGCACCATCCCATTCCCAACAGGCTGAATTGGCCTAACCACAGTTTCGGCGTGCATGTCGTCGAACTTGCGAAGCCTAAATATACTGCACGACGCATATTGGATTCTCAATCGGGCAAAAATCTATCCACCTCCCGCTCGGAGCCATGCTGGCCACTGGCGGCGCGAGGATTAGATTGTCTACCCCCATCTTCAATCTATCTCCAAGCTTTAATGTCCTGCCGCATCTATTTCCGCATTTTCTCTCCCCATGACACCGACACGATGCCTTTCTCAGACGCAATGGGCTGCTTTCTTCCACGACCGTTGCGAGATGCTAGGGTATGCATTCATCCTCGCGTACTCTGCGGCATTATACCCCAAGCTCTCAGTCTTCTAATAGAGGCCATTTGAGTCTACGCTCCCGACCGGGTTCCCAAAATAACACACACAAATGCATATGTCTTGTTGTGCTCTTCGCCCTTCCGGGTCGACGACCCGAAGAGAAAGGGACCATGATGCATGAACCTAGACCTCGAATGCTTGGGTCCCATACTTTCGGCGCCCTCGTCCCAAATATCCAAGTTACCCCATTTGCCCAGATACCTGTACTTGGCTCTTTATCATTCACTTTATTTGCTGTTCCTACCTGCCTGCCTCGAAATAGGATGGTCGACATCAAGTAGATGCCTTTAACCACCCCGCGTCCGATTGTTGCACGGATATAGTTGTGCCTGAGCAATTTATAGATACTCGTGATCCCATTCTAACAGACATCCAAACCACCCACCAGCCCGGTATCCGCGTCATGGCCGAAGGATTTGTTCCTAGGTCTTGATTTCATTCCCTCTTCCCAATCTCTTCTCATCTACACTCCTCGTTTCTCTCTCCGGTAACTGTGGAGGAAGACGTTAGTAGTAGGAGCGGCGAGTCTTTTCTCAAAACCTCCCTCATCTAGACTAACAGTGAAGAGCAGAGACACAGCAGAGGAGACAGCGCAGCCATGGTGCGGCCCCGGTTCGCCGTAGACTCGGCCGTCGCCGTCGCCGTCGCCTTCGCGTGGAATGCCGCAGCTGACCTCCTTCCAAGGACCATCACCCTCACCCCCGTTCCAGTCCCCGGCCCAGACTATGATGGACCTGATCCCACGGGGGGTTTCGCGCAGCCTTCGAGGGATTGGATCCCTCCTGAGCTGTCGCATCTCATTCCGACGCCAGGTGTGAACTTTACGGGAACGGTGCCGACTTCTATCCCCGTTCCTACCCTACCACCGGGTGGGGACGAGGAAGAACCGCCTCCACCGGAAGAGGAACCGGGTGAACCAATTGAAGGTGAAGAGCCGGAAGAACCCGAAGTTCCCGCGGAACCGGAGGAGCCAGAGGAGCCAGAAGAGCCCGAGGAGCCCGAGGAGCCCGAGGAGCCTGAGGAGCCCGAGGAGCCTCTCGGGTGCCACAGTAATGGTATCGACTACGTGAATGGAGGAACTTACAATATCGACATGACGGCCGAGAATTTCTTCGGGTTCAAGTCCGAATTCATAGGTTCGTCAACCTAACACCCTCCTCTCATCTAGGTCTAAGATTCTAACCTCTCTGGTGATAGGCTGCGAAAATGCGACAGTCCATCCGTACATGATTGACCCCGAGGGATACGAGTACCCCTGTTCTATCATGCAAACTCAGCCAGATAAAGAGGTCCAGTACTCTGAGTGGTCAGTCTCCATCACCTACTTCCTCAACCGTTGGTTGTTTGAAACGGCAACTAACGCTCTTATAGCGATGTTCTTTATTCCGAGATGTGGTCGGGAAACTGGTCGATTGTGATTGAGGCCTACGACATCGACTTTTCTGTCCAGCGTGATTTTGAACTCGTCGTGGGCATTCTTCCCAAGGTCACGACCACTGCAATTGACACCATGATTGTGGGAATTACTACTGTTCCCGACCCATTAAGTATGTCCTACTTATTCCTCCCCAAGATCAAGAAAGACAAGATTGTTAACCTCCACTAGCCGTGACAAATTGGTACAATCAGACGAGCACCATCATTTTCTGGCCCGACGCGGTTCTTGCTACCTGTGAAGGCAATACTCAGACAATTACCTCATGGCTCGAGGGCGAGACCACCACTCTATCTTACAGGAGTACTCGGACCCTTTACGACGACCCATTCTACGCTTACTGGACCACCACTGCTGGAGTGTGGGCTTACTGCCATTGGCCTTGGTGGCAGTGGCCTTCATATCCACAGCCGCCCACGAGCCCTGCGCCAGGACAGCCTCCTCCGCCCACGCAGCAACCCACGTCCCCCCCTCCAACTTCCCAGGTCTGCCGCGGGACGACGTGTATTACTGAGCAGCCGCCGCGGACGAGTGATCGCACCACGGGCCCCGGGGGTTCTACTTCCTTGCCTGGAACTTCTTACACCGTTTGCCGCGGTACGACGTGTCTTGAGGAGGACTTCCCCACGGCGCCACCGGGCCAAAACGTTCCCACTCCACCAAAGACGCCAGACAAGCCTCGCGAGCCTACGACACAACCGACCGAACCCGGCGAACCCGAGCCAACCCAGCCCGGAGAGGAGCCCGAGCCTGGAGAGGAACCAGAGCCTACGTCGCACACGTATATTACGCGTAGCCGTACGCGTACGCGCCAGCCATCACAGACTTGGGATCCTGAACCTCCCCCGCCGCCGACGCCGACGTTCCCTACGAGCACGCCTCCTCCGGTTAATCCGGAGCCGACGCCTCCTGGTTCGAGTTATAGTGTTTGTAGGGGAATTACTTGCCTTGATGGTATCGATTTGCCTACGTTCCCGCCTGTGGAAGAACCACCGCGGCAGACTGGTGGGCCGGGAGGTGGGCCGCCTGATAGACCGGAACCAGAACCAGAACCGGAGCCTGAGCCTGAGCCTGAGCCTGAGCCTGAGCCTGAGCCGGAGCCGGAGCCGGAGCCGGAGCAGCCTGGACAGCCCGGTGAGGGACCGGGAGGAGAGCCAGAGGAGCCAGGTAGGCCGGAGGAACCAGAGGAACCGGAGGAACCGCAGCAACCAGAAGAACCAGGTGAAGGACCTGGAAGGCCAGGAGATGGCCCTGGACCCGGGGAGCCAGACCGACCCGATGAACCAGGCGAGGGGCCTCCAGAAGGAGAAGAGCCACAGCCAGAGCCTGAACCTGAGCAACCGGGAGAGGAACCACAACCAGAACCTGAGCCAGAGGAGCCGGATCGGCCAGGAGAAGGACCGGGAAGGCCGGATGAGCCCGAGCCGGAACCAGAACCCCAGCCTGAGCAACCTGGGGAAGAACCAGGAAGACCAGATGAGCCTGGACCAGGTCCCGAGCCTGGACCAGGTCCCGAGCCTGAACCAGAGCCCGAGCCCAAGCCAGAACAACCTGGGGTTGAGCCAGAGAACCCAAGATCACGAACGCTTCGCACCCGCACCAGGTCAAGGACGCAGACCCCAGGCCAGCCCACTGGTCGGCCTGGTGGCGGAGATGAGCCGGAAGAACCTCAACCTGGACCCGAGCCTGAGCCATCTGAGCCGACGCCCGAGCCTGGGCCGCAGCCTGAACCTCTGCCTGAGCCAACTGCCGAGCCAGGGCCTGGTCCTGACCCGCGGCCGGATGAACCTGGCCAACCGGACCAACCAGGTCCCGAACCCGATAGGCCTGATAGGCCGGATCAGCCTAGTGAACCAGACAGGCCAGATCAGCCGGGGCAGCCGGGGCAGCCTGACCAGCCTGACCGACCAGATCAACCAAGTCCACCAGACCAACCCGGCCCTGAACCCGATCGACCTGAGCAGCCTCAGCAACCTGACCAACCAGATCAACCCAGCCAGCCAGACCAACCTGGACCGGACCGACCAGAGCAGCCTCAGCAGCCTGAGCAGCCAGGACAACCCGACCAACCAGGTCAGCCCGATCCCCAGCCCCCTCAGCCAGACGAGCCCGCCGATCCCCGCTCTCGCACACTCCGGACTCGCATACGTACTCGTACACAGAGCTTTGACGAGGGTCAACAGCCTGTTCCCACAACGCCGCCTCGGGGTCCGGTTCCGAGTGAGCCTACTCCTGAGCCTGAGCGACCGCAGCAGCCAGACAGGCCGGGTCAACCTAATCAACCTGACCAACCGGGGCAGCCTCAACAGCCGGATCGCCCAGATCAGCCAGGGCAACCAGATCAACCTGGTCAGCCCCAGCAACCAGAGCAGCCAGAGCAGCCCAACCGACCTGACCAACCACAACAGCCCGATAGGCCCGACCAGCCTCAGCAACCGGACCGCCCAGACCAACCAGGACAGCAGCCAGGACAACCAGGACAACCCCAACAACCCGACCAGCCAGGACAGCCTCAGCAACCGGAGCAACCTCAGCAGCCTGGTCAGCCTCAGCAGCCAGATCGGCCAGACCAACCAGGGCAGCAGCCAGGACAACCTCAACAACCCGACCAACCCGGACAGCCTCAGCAACCTAGCCAGCCTAACCTACCGGATCGACCAGATCGACCAGACCAACCGGAGCAACCTCAGCAGCCTGGTCAGCCGCAACAGCCAGGACAGCCAGGACAGCCTCAGCAACCTGACCAACCTGACCGGCCTGACCAACCTCAACAGCCCGACAGGCCTGGTCAGCCAGACAATGGCCAGCCGAACCCTGGAAATCCTTTCCCCGGTCAACCTCAGCAGCCAGATCGTCCTGATCAGCCTGGACAGCAACCTGGGCAACCTCAACAACCTGAGCAACCGGGACAGCCAGGACAGCCTCAGCAACCTGACCAACCTGACCGGCCTGACCAACCTCAACAGCCTGACCAGCCAGGACAACCCCAGCAACCAAATCGGCCAGACCAACCTGATCAGCCCAATCGACCAGAACAACCGAACCAACCCCAACCTGGCCAACCCGGTATTGGACAGCCGAATCCGGGTCAACCTAATCCTGGGAACCCCTCCCCAGGACAGCCGCAGCAACCGGATCAACCAAGTCAGCCCAATCAGCCGGATGAACCTCAGCAACCTAGCCAGCCGAACCAACCTGGTCAGCCAGGTAATGGCCAGCCCAACCCCGGAAATCCCTTCCCTGGTCAACCCCAGCAACCGGACCAGCCGCAGCAACCCGGCAATGGCGGGCAAAATCCTGGAAACCCTTTCCCCGGTCAACCTCAGCAGCCCGGTCAACCCCAACAACCTAACCAGCCGAGCCAACCTGGCCAGCCAGATAATGGTCAGCAGAACCCTGGAAATCCTTTCCCCGGCCAACCTCAGCAGCCAGACCCGCCCGAGCAACCTGGTAATGGCGGGCAGAATCCAGGAGACCCCTTCCCCGGACAGCCCCAGCAACCTAGCCAGCCTCAACAGCCTGACAACGGACAGCAGAACCCTGGAAATCCTTTCCCTGGTCAGCCTCAACAACCAGGCCAACCACAGCAGCCTAATCAACCTCAGCAGCCGGATAATGGACAGCAGAATCCCGGGAATCCCTTCCCTGGCCAACCGCAACAGCCGCAGCCGCAGCCTCAACCTCAACCTCAACCGCAACCTCAACCACAGCCACCTCAGCAGCCCGACCAACCTCAACCTCAACCTCAACCTCAACCTCAACCTCAGCCTCAGCCTCAGCCTCAGCCTCAACCTCAACCTCAACCTCAACCCCCTCAGCAACCAGAGCAGCCTCAACAACCACAACAGCCTGGTCAAGGCGGCAATCAAGGAGGGAACCAAGGAAACCCAGGATTCGGCGGAGGAAATCAAGGAGGTAACCAGGGAGGAAACCAAGGAGGGAATCAGGGTGGTAACCAGGGCGGCAACCAGGGCGGCAACCAAGGAGGAAATCAAGGAAACCCAGGATTCGGAGGAGGGAATCAAGGTGGAAATCAAGGTGGCAACCAAGGAGGTAACCAAGATGGTAATCAAGGTGGAAACCAAGGAGGGAATCAGGGCGGCAACCAGGGAGGCAACCAAGGAGGAAATCAAGGAAACCCAGGAGTCGGAGGAGGGAATCAAGGTGGCAACCAAGGAGGTAACCAAGGCGGTAACCAAGGAGGAAATCAGGGTGGGAATCAGGGAGGTAATCAAGGCGGAAACCAGGGAGGAAACCAAGGAGGGAACCCTGGGTTTGGCGGAGGAAACCAGGGGGGCAACCAAGGCGGTAATCAGGGAGGAAACCAGGGCGGTAATCAAGGCGGTAACCAAGGAGGTAACCAGGGAGGAAACCCCGGGTTCGGTGGAGGTAATCAGGGCGGTAACCAAGGTGGTAACCAAGGCGGGAATCAGGGTGGGAATCAGGGAGGTAATCAAGGCGGAAACCAAGGAGGAAATCCCGGATTTGGTGGAGGAAATCAAGGCGGGAATCAAGGTGGTAACCAAGGAGGAAATCAGGGTGGCAACCAGGGCGGTAATCAAGGAGGTAACCAGGGCGGTAATCAAGGAGGTAACCAGGGAGGAAACCAAGGAGGGAACCCTGGATTTGGTGGAGGAAACCAGGGCGGCAACCAAGGTGGCAACCAAGGAGGAAATCAGGGTGGGAACCAAGGTGGCAACCAAGGAGGTAACCAAGGAGGTAACCAGGGAGGCAATCAAGGTGGAAACCAAGGAGGGAATCAAGGAGGAAATCGGGGCGGTAATCCACAGCCGCCACAGCCGCCGCGGCGTGGTGGAAGCAACCCAGAAAGCAACCCAGCGAGCCGGCCTGTACTATTCCCAGTTTCTCGTGTTCCCGCCACTGTCGCCTCTGAGATGATTGCTCAGATGGCAGCGATGATAACCGAGAAGCCTAAACGTGAGTTTGTGGACAGATTCCCCCGTTCCAGACTCTACTAACGAGTTGGGTAGTCCCTCTCCGGCGACGCCAAGCCGTGGAAGACCCCGAGGACGATGATTTTGTTGATCATTTCAGCGACGATGACGAGTCGGACGGTGGAGATGAGTATTCGGAATATCCTGATGATGTTGTCGTGTTCCCCACAGTTACCGAGACGGTGTGGGAGAGCAATGTCACGCAAACTTACATGGTGACTATTGCATTGGCACAAAAGACGGTTTACGAGGACGGTAAGTCGTTGTCGTATCGAATGAAAGGCATGGGGACCTTGTTTAGCTAACAGTCTTTCAACAGTCAACCAAGTCATCACTTCGACACTGTAAGTTTCTTGGTCCCGTGATGAATAGTGGTCCTCCTTGGATATAGGCTAACTAGAAGCCTGTAGGATCCCACCAGCTCAGACACTCTGCGCCAACGAGGTAGACGAGACGACAACGGAATACTTCCAAGGAAGAGAGCAGACCGAGGTCCACGTCGATTACGTGACGGTTACGACCGAACAGACTATCTGGATAGGGTAAGTTGCCATTGTTTTTCCCATCGGGGCATTTCTATTTGAACAGTGGCTGACCGTGGCGGCACCTGCGACAGACAAACTACGATCCAGACGTATTCCGACTACCACGCAATGACTCAGTGTTGGCAAGGCGGTGGTTGGTATGGATTCCCGTAAAACAGAGATTTTTTTTGGGGGGGAGATATCAACACACACTAGGGATTGGTGTAGGAGTGAGGGAGTGTTTAGGTTTGGACGTCATGGCAAAGGCGTCGTCTCGTTTTGAATATCTTCGTGTACCTATGTTTCCGGCTTTCCTTGCGTCATATTGTTTTGCACAGGATTGTATATACTGGTAGGGTTGATGCAATCATCCAAGTCATATTCTTCTTCCCGAAATCTGTTTGTGGTACATGTAGTGGATGGGCGGAGTGGTCGCGGCATGGCGCACGCGCATCTACGCGCATCGACTTTGCTTCATAGGGCTGCGCGATGTGCGTTAGGGCAATAATTGTCGCTTGTTATTGTTTGTTGGGGATTAATGGATGGATGCGAGGTTCATTCAGGCATGCTTGCGCAATATGCGCAATATGATCGACCGCGTCGATTGTGCAAGATCGGCTCTGCGTCTGGGGTGGCAAGCAGAATTAAGGTTCAGAGCCGTTTCAGTTGCATCGACTTTCTCCAGGAGTTCCAAGATCGATGGTTCTTGGCAATCTCTGCTGGGCTTTGCTTGGATCGATCTGGCAAATGAAACAACGCCACTGTATTATCGCCCTTTCTCGGTTCCATCATCAATGCTTTCCCGTCTGCGCCTCATTCTCTCAAGCAAAGGGGGTAATTTTCTCTTTTCTAGCCTCGTGCCCCCCAATGTCGCGCCCGTTCCCGTGAGTTGAACCATGGAACTCTTCCTCTTAGACCCTGCTACGAGGGGGAAGGGCGAAAGGAAGGTGGCAGAAACATGGTATGGTGGACGTGCGCTGCGTCGTAGAATTTTTTTTTCCTATCCTCCCCTTGGCGCGGCACATCAATGCTCTAAGGAGGGGAGAGTGTACCAAAGATTATGTGTGTGGTCTAGGCCGCTGTTGGGAGCTCAATCAAGTCACTTCATCCCCTTCAGGACAACTTGCCCAGTGCGACTAGTATTTTGAGGCGGGAGGGAAGATGAAGGACAGCGTCGGAGAATGGTCTGGAGGAGGGGAAAGGGGAGAGTGGAATAGGAACCAGACTTCGTTCTTGGATGGTTGGGGTAGGATCGGAGCATTTCAGTGGGCGTGGGCGTGGGCGTGGGCAGGGAAGGATTAGAGAACATCAAATTAATCCTGTGGGCTGTGGCTGTTCACTTCAAGCTGCTAGCGTTCTACCTCGTAGGAGCTCGGTCAATCGTTCGGCTGGTCCTGGACGCTGGGATGGAGCACGATGTTTCAATCCTTCGCGGCTGCCTCTTCCCCTTAATATCTGCGCCTTCGAGATTCAGAGTCCGTAAGCGATGGTGCCAGTTTATTCAATCTTGCAACGCTGACACCAGATCAACGTTTAGCGGCAGGGGAGCAAGATTGAAAAACTGTCACGCGCGGCTTCACCTTTCAAATTATCAGTTCGTGCTAGTATAAACAAGCTTATTTTCGGAGCTCGAAGCAAGAAAAGATTAAAGCTTGTTTTGAACCCACTCCGGAGCTGTTCTCCACGTCGGGAGGTCGAAAGCGACCGACCCATCAGTTGGGGCGACCGGCGACACTACTGCATCCGATCTAGCGCATATTTCAGCATCGATCGATGTCCAGTGTCCATTAGCCCAGACCAGCTAGCTTGGTTGTCCTCGTTCCCCCTGTAGGAGCGTGCCTAGCTCGGTAAACGACGCTGATCACAAAATGTCAGATCGCTCAGCTGGCTCTCTCAAAAGGAACAAATTTGCTGTGATTGACCCGCGATCAGACATAATGGCTTGTCGGAGCCTTCGTCGCTCAGGAGGCTGGAAACACCGTGGACACACACAAAAGAGTTTTACTTTACAAAACGCTCGGAAAAACAATGCAGCAATAAACGGACTTAAGTAGAAATTGATACTTCGTCAATTGGTATTGTTATGTGAGTGAGTAATTACGCCCTTGTAACTCGAGAATATATGTACAAAATATCTACCAATTTTTAGAGGTAGATGTAGCAGAAGGGAGAGCCCCCGACAGTGTTCATGAGGTCCTTGATCTTAACGGGAGGAGCAAGGGGAGAGAGGTCGATGAGGTCTTCGACCGTGACATCGGGGCTGGGAGGGTTGTTCTGGAGAGTGCTCGTGCCGTGGACGCCCTGGAATATTTTGTTAGTGAGGCCAATTAGAGTGGGATGGGGGAGTGGGAGATTGGGGGATGGCATCTTACCTGGCGGTTGGCAAAGTCAAGCATCTGCCAGATCCAAAAGACACGATCAACTTGAGCATGATGGAGGTAGAAAGCCGGGTCACCAGGCGAGATGAAAGGATCACCGCCCGGGTCACCGCCAATAGTGTAGTGACCACCGCCGTGAACACCGAGCTCATTCAACACGTATCGGTCGTCACCCTGCAAATGGGCCTGGAACTGCTCGACGTTCTTATACTTGAGAATAAGGCTAGTAGTGTTGAGGAAAGAAGTAAAGCGCTTAGCGATGCCGGCGTTGAGATCACGCTTCAGGCAGCGCTGGTTATCGGGGCCGATGGGGTTAGCCGAGCCGTTGAGGATGGGCTGGCCGTAGACGGGGAGGATAATGGTGCCAAAGTTGACCGTCATGTCCTTGAAGGGACCCGTGGTCACGCAGCCGCCGCCCGTGCCGGGAGGGAGCATGAGGATGTTGCCGTTGATGGGCTGCACCATCTGGATTCCCTCGTGCTGGAAGAAGGCGCCGTTGCCGCTCATCGACGTGGCGGAGCCGTCGAAGACGGGGGACGCGGCGGGGTTGTTGACGTCTAGGCCCCATTCCCAGTAGGGGAGGGGACCGGTGTAGCCGCATTCATCGCGGAGCTTGGTCTCGTAGGCGTACACGAAGTAGCGATGCCATGTGAGGAAGGTGGCCTGAAGATTTGTCTTAGCTGGCTTTATTCAATTTTCTCCGGAACGAGCTGAGCTTGATTAGTAGTCCGTGTAATAATATACTTACAGTAAGATGAATGTTGACTGTCTGGAACAGGTGGACGCCGACAAAGTCGTCAAAGAGAGACCGGGCGGCAGGGACCTGCGTGGGATCGAACAAGCTGGGCTTGGTCTGCAGGCATTTGACGGCAGAAATGTACTGCTTGCGCTGGTTGGCAGTGAGAGTGCGCCTAAATCATCATCCGTATCAGTGATCAATTCATCTGCAGAAAGGAGAGAGAAAACAAATAAGCTGAGAGAGGATAGACCTCAAAAAAAAAGGCCAAAGAGGCGGGGATGGGAGAGCTTCATACCATTCCTTTCGGATCCTGATGTTGTTGGGAGTGCAGCTACCGCTTGCGCCACGCTTCGCCAGCCTCATCACAGTGTCCTGCGACGAGTCGGCAGCGAGGGCCGCGAGCTGAGCAAGAGCATCGCCCTGCTCGATTTCGGGCTGCGTGAAGTCGTCCTCGGTGATTTCCTGGGCAGTTACGCCCAGGGCCGCCGTGGCAGCGAAGAGGAGGCAGAGAAGGCGCTTCGCCGGACGCATCTCGACCAAGCTCGGGTTACGGAAGGCGAAGGAGGAAAAGAGGGATTGATGATGAGAGTTTGGGAGGTAGTCGGTATTGCTTGTGAAGGAGGAAGGGGAAGGTAGGGGGAGATTGGCGATCTTTTCCTTGGAGAGAGCCTCACAACCTTGGGAGAGCGGGCCGGACAATCATTTTTCTAGAACTGGGCGGATACCATGGTTCTTATTCTTTTCTCTTTTGTGCTCTTTTTCTTTTCCCCTTTTTGCCTTTCTCTGGGTTTGGGGAGGTCCTGGCAAAGAGAGTACAATCGCCGATGCGACTCCGAGGGACTCTTTTTCATCTTGCCAATCTGCAATAGGGTCGTACTTGTTGGACGACTGCGAGGGTCGCAGAGGGGTGGATTCTGGGGGCGTGTGTGTCGTGTCGATTGTTGGAAGGTCATGTCATCCATCATTCATCGTTACTCGTGGTCAATGATGAGGGCAGGACAGGACAGGACAGGAACGCCTTTCTTCGCGAGCCTTGGCGTCTCTGCATGCTGCATGAGTGATGTGAGCATGGGATCCCATGTCTGAGTAAGACCGCAGGGTTGTACCGGAGTCGCATTCGAAAAAAACGAAAGAAATTTGGGTTTCGAGGCGACGCCTCCCAACAGGGGAAGGTCAATCTCATCCCTCCGATTCGAAGTGCGCAGGACAAAGGAGAGATTTGAATCCCTGGTTCACTCTGTTTGGCATCAGGCATTGCCCAGACCAGGTCGGGGGTATCATTATGATTCCGGTTGCTCCAATTGACGCGGAGAAAACGGCCGGGATAAGGTTACATCAATTGGCGCCCGCGGAATCGACGGGAGCACTCAGTTCACATAAATTAAAAAAAAAAAAAAAATCAGAAGAACAACGTGGCTCCGCCTCTCCTCTCCCCCTGGTCGCTCCACTCGAGAACATCTTAAACGGAATTAAGGACAGTCGCAGTTCCTGGGCGCCACTCCCCCAGAGAGCCTTGGCCAATGGGGTTTCGTCCGCCTTCAAGAAAATCGCGCCATGTTGATTGACAGCGGTCATGATGGATCCTCCCTCGGTTGGGTCGGTTCAGATGGAGTAAGTAACCCTAACTGTACGACACCTCCCCTCCATTGACCCTCTTCCTCCAACGAGACGAGCATGGGATTCCTTTTCATTTTCAGCCAAGACCGTGTTGCTGCAAGCTGTACGAAGTTTCTTCGGAATTCTCAGGCCCGCGCTCACTCGAGAACAGGAATCATGGGCTTGCCTGGCCGTAGTGTACCAAAGCTTCTAAACGTTCTGGTGGACTTGGCACGCCGCCAGGCTACATAGGAACAAACGGTCCAGTCCATGACGCTTCGAGAAAAGTCCGAAGTAAAAATCCCGGGTCGAGTGGGGGTTTCGTTCGCCCTTGATTTCCTGGGGTAATTTATTCTTAATTCTCGCTCTGAAAGTCACTGGTTTGGATCTGTTTTTCTCGTCTCTTAGGCAGTTGCTAGTCGGATCGATCAAATCGATTGACGTAGTGTATCATCAATACATACGAAGGATGCGTGGTCCATAGATCCATCTCATCCTGTGTCGTCAGGACCTTGTCTTCGTTTAAGATGGAAGAATCAGTGCGACACAAACTCCTGCACAATTTCTCCACGCTGCACGACACAACTTCATCATCAATTGATCTTTGTATTAATATTCACCATGAATATTCACCGGTCCTGCATTATCCCCGATTTATCACTTCCCGCATGAGGACACCGAGTACCAGTGCCCTGGAAGCGTCCCTCCCATTCAACGACATGTCATTGATGTGATGTGGCAAGACAGTAACATCGCAGTCAATACTGAGTACATGCCTCGTCCTGCAGACTCCTACTTCGTACTTGTACACGCCTTTCTGCCTTTCGGTGCATGCAAGCAGTCAGACACTCGCAGGAATTACCAACCTCGCCTTAGTATCAGCTTCATGAATACTTCGTACCTGTTGGCCAGCACCTCGACATGAGATGCCCCGTCTCCACTCGACAACGTTGCAATATTTCGTAGCACTTTCTTCTCTCCTCGGAACATGGATATCCATACTTAGCCACTTCCTCGTACGAAGTACGAATCTTGCCCTTTCAGTTCAACGGAACGATGGAACAGGGGAGGGGTCTCCATCCTTATTCCTTATGCTTGCATTTCGCCTGCATGCATCGAACGTTCTGACAGCTATCTCCACTCTTAAAGTCGCATTAAGAGATCAATTGATGCCTACGAAGTACGACGCCGTTGTCCGACGCCGTTGTCATTGTTGCCAAGGCCCAAGTCCCAGAGTTTCTCATCTTATCCCAGTGTTACCCCGAAAGAGTCCACCCCGTTAGGGTCGCAGGCGGCCCTGACCAGACCTCAGTTAGCGATGCTCGGGGTCCTTCGCCGAGTGTTTGTTCGCGAGAGTAGTAACCCGCCCGGCCTTGGTTAAGACCATCGAACTAGAGGGTGGTAGGCCGGGCTACTAGGTGACACTCTTGCATGCGGAGTACACATGTGTAACTCTCCAGGTCTAGATGTCAATATCTGCACCTTGTGCATACTGGAGAGCCGTGCTGGCCGCCCAAGAGGAAACACGAGGCCGCCCGGACTAGCCCATCTGCACGCAGCCCCCTGCTGCTCAAGTGGAAATCTTGGGGCCGTCTATCCACTTGGGAAGTCACAAACGAGAATCACGTCCACAAGGGACGGAAACAACGGCTCAAATAGGCATTGGCATTGGCATTCAGGTAAAGAAAAACTACTTCGTACGAATGAGAAGGGTGTGTCGTCTGTTTCTGTCCAATGACACTAATAGACCTTCCTCGTACTTCACACTCCGTAAGCGGGCATCATTCCGACCCCGGGCGCGTCCAACTGCAAGGGAGGAGAGGCCATCCCACGCGGTCGAGTCGCCTTGACCCGTGCGGTTCAATCCCAATATTCTGTACGAAGTATGCATAGAACTACACCCATGCATGTACGTAAGTTGCATCAAACCGCGTTCCTTGGTATCGCCACTCGCTCAAAATAGTACAATCTCCGATTTATGTCTTCCAGAGACGTCGCGCTGAAGTGGTGAATGCCTCGTTGGGCCCATGTCAGTGGAGATGTGCTTAGAGTTTGGTCGAGCGAACCGGAAGCCTCGAATTAAATATAATCCACATTAGCGCTGGCGCGGGTGTTATGAGCATGCATGGCATTGAGATCTTGGGGCTAATGTAGATATTTTCTTCCCCATCATTTCTCCTCAAAAATTTGCTGGGGAGGCGGACAAGGGGTGTTCGAACATGACTTGTCATATTCTCCGTCGTGTTCGCATCTTGCTTCTCCGGAACACTTGCGTGGGAAATATCAATGGCAGAGGTTCTCATGGGGATTGGAATAGCATGATTCTTGCGGTCCAATATGGGACGGGCCCAACACTTGAATACCACTCAACCAGAGCTTATACCGGCCATGGACTACGAGATGTTTGGCCAAGATGTATCACCAGCTTGGGTTAGTGAATGGAGGGCCCTCGACCCACACCGCTAAAGTTTAGTCCTAAGCTTAAGCTTAATTTTTGCGAGTGGTCTGCTAGCTGATGAAGTTTACTTCGACCTAGCAGTATCAAGAATTACCAATTCGTCTTGGGAATCCAATTCTCAGCCTTTCATGACGATCTTCTTCCCACTCGTTTTCCCAGGTTTTCTGCACTTTGTTCCTGGAGTTTTCGTTGAGGGTGGAATTCAGAACCCCTGTCGCCAGTAACAGTTGGCAGACCAGTCGATACGACGCTAGGTCGGGGTCGTTCACCCCTGGCTCAGAGGGGGTCAGCTTTTGGAGAGACCACCGCTAGACTCTCAGGGGTTACGAAGCCGATGAGGCACGCAAAGGTACAAGTATCATTGAAGTTGACGGATTCTCAATTCAATCCGGGTGGCACAGAGCAAGAGTAAATTAGAGTACGAAGTAATCTCAAGTCTTTGGACGAAGGACCCCGAAGTCTCTCCCTGAACCCTGGACTCCGTATCCATCCCCGCTCACAGGGATCAGAAACCTACGAATTATCAATAGACAACGTCTCCATCGTGGAGTAAAGGTCTTAGGGTCCTCAAGTGCAGCAAGAACGCGGCATGGTCTTGTAACTTTACATCCGCAAGTTAACATTACAGGTCGTGCAACATCCAACACTGCCTCTCATCACAATAGGGACTTCGTCCAACGACTCGGGAGTCGAGTGTTATTGTTCTCCCGAGCCTGAAAGAATTCCGGCACTGGTTGATCAACGACTGTTGCGGGAGTCCAATTGGTCTATCTCATTGGTCCAAAGGTCTGCACCTCGGTACGAATTATCTGCACATCTGCAATATTGCCCCTCAACGGCATCACAGATACACACACACACTTCTTTTTGCCATGCCGGAAATGCAGTGTGCGTGATTCCGATGATCCACATACCCGCCTGGCCACGTTTTCTGAGCACAGACAACGTTGAAGGTTCCAAGAAGCGAGGAGAGCTGAGGATTGTCCCATCCTACCTTAATAGTACAGCCACCCACCATGTATGCCGCTCCTACGCCTGTTGTTTCCTCGCCAATCTCGCTTCGCTTATTCACTATTCTCCCCAATTCCGCGGTGGGCGAGGTCAAAGCGTGCATTGTCTTCTCTCATCGCCTCTAGAGGCTGGACCCGTATTTTCATCTCGTCGCCTACCTACTGGATGTGCCGCTTTCTTGATATAGTATGGCGCCTCTGCGCGACCTCGTGGCCTACCTCGGGTGGGGAAGATATTCGGTGACACTAAGAAAGGAAGGTGAGGAGGAGGGGAGTATTATTGCCAGTAAGGAAGCTTCCCAGAAGAGAAAAGGTGACCCTCCTTCACAACCAAAGCTCCTTCCCCACCATGCCATCGTTGAGGATCCGAGTCCCAGGAGCGCGGAACCCACAGAGGCGACTCTGCATGAGAGGGCGTGGACGCAAAACCTCAAGGAGTGTCTTCATTTTGCCAACTCACCACTGCA